AACCAGTTATGAAGTAATCAATAATTATGCAAATCCATTCACTATTTACCTAATTTTAAACAATGCATATAATTATTATGCACAGAACTGTTAGAAAAACCAAAGGAATTAACTAAAACGAAATAAATTTTACAAATAAAGAGTAGTTTGTATAGAAGTGATGGTCAAATATCATTATATATACATATTAATATTCCACCAATTTTAAAGAAAAACCTATTATAAATACTTCACATTTTTTGTTTGTTTATTGTTGCAAAAGGTATATCCTTATCTCTGGTGGTGTCATATTGAAAATTCTGGTACAAAACCAGACAAGCCATCTACAGCACTAATCAAATTTGACAGCTTAAGTTCTGAGCAAGCATTTTTTGTCAGATATTTGATGTGAAAATATTGAAAAGGAAATGCGAGAACATAGGAATATATTTATTTATATATGATGTATGTAAATATTTATGCTGTCATATAGAATATATATCAATATAAATATATTTTATATATATAAATGTCTTGACATATGGTCAAGACAAAGACATATACCTTCCTCCTTTAAAAAAAAGAAAATCTGACTTGAGTCAATACAGGTAGTTCAGACTAGCAGAAGTTGGCCAGTGTTTCTTAAAGAAATATAACGTACTGTGTCCTTCGTTTTTGTTCCCTCTTTGGTTTTCTTGAGAACCTATGCTGTTAGGGGAGCTCATATTTTTTTCCTTGAAAGGATATTGCTCATGTTTTCCTATCCCAATTATTTGGACTAAGAAGACTAATTTAAGATGATTGGGAGAAAGTTTATTGGGGACAAATGATATGATAGAGGAAATGCTTTAATAAATAGAACTGATCGTCTTTGATAAGATTTGGGGAAGATTTACATGGTTTTTAAAAATCTGATATATCTTGGAATTTGTCATTTTCTGCACCACTGAAACAAAACACCTGGGTTTTTTGAAGTTTGAATAGTGTGATAAATAGATTATATGTACTAATTCCAAATAATCTTAAAATATGTCATAAATGACATGTATTTCTACTCTGTTTCTGGTAGACTGTGGATGGAATATCTGTACAATGAAATTGTCACCTACTCATGTCACTAAGTTTGTTTTCTATGCACTAAAGATAATATTTGAAAATCTTCAAGTGGCCTCAGACAAATACCATCTTACCTAATTTTTCAGTCAGCGATTTGTGTATAAATTAAATCATAATTCTTATCTGTTTTGTGTTTTATTTTTATGACAGTGATATTATAGCAACTTTAGACACTTTAGAAAATATGATAAAGCAATGTAATAATTTACTCTCCCTCCAGTATCAAATGAGGAGTATGAGTAATCTTTCTCTCTGTATTAGGCAAAATATGAGGCATCATTGTTTTATTTGGATATCTTTATTACTATGAATTTGAACATTTCTTCAAAAACTCATTGGCCATTTTATCCTATTCTGAGAATTTCTTGTTCATATCTTTTGTGCCTTCTTTTTTTCTGTTAGGATATTTTCTCTCTCTCTCTCTTTTTTTTTTCTGAGGAAGATTAGCCCTGAGATAACATCTGTTGCCAATGTTCATCTTTTTCTGCTTCAGGGAGATTAGCCCTGAGGTAACATCCATGCCAGTCTTCCTCTATTTTTTATGTGTGGGTCACTGTGACAACACGGCTGATGAGTGGTGTAGGTCCGTGCTCAGGATCCAAACCCACAAACCCAGACCACCAAAGCAGAGCATGTGAAACTTAACCAATGCACCACAGGGCCGGCCCCAGGATATTGTCCTTTTTCATGTTATTACTTACAACTTTTTATATACTAAGACTCTTAAACCTTTGTTAAATGTATATGTTGCAAACATTTTCCCTTTATTCTTTATTTTTAAATTGTGTGTGTGTTTGGAGATAGGCAGAATATTTTATTTTTTGTATAATCAAATTTATCAGCATTTTCCTTTGTGGCCTTCATGCTTAAAAAGACCGTCCTGGAACATATAAGTGTTCATTCAGATTTTGGTGCCTTCAGGATTTGATTACTTGGTTACATCTTTCATTCTTCTGGAGTTTATTTTCATGAAAAGTATAAGGATATCTAACTTTTTTTTTGGATATATGGCCAGTTATTCTAATACCTGTTGTAAAATAATCTGTTCTTTCTCTGCTAATGTAAAATATAGACTTTATTAGGTATTAAATTCTTACATATACTTAGATCTGCTTCTAGAATTTATATTTTTGTCCACTGAATATTCTGTTTCTTAAACTCATTCTTTTTGTTACTGTATTCTTTATAAGTGCTTTAATATCTGGTAAGGCAACCCTCCCTTATTACTTTCCTTTTTAAGTTTTTTAAATAAATATTTTTATCTATTATATTTATTCTTCTGCTTCAGTTTTAGAATCATTTGTCATATCACCCTACAGGGAAAAAAATTGACGCTAGCACTTTTGTTGTCACTACGTTAAGTCATATAAATTTGGGGAAAAATTAAATGGTTTATAATTTTGAATCTTCTTAACTTGCCCTTTATTCAGATCATTTTTCTTATATTCTTCAGTAGAATTTTGAGGCTTTCGGTATATTTCTTGATAATTCCAGTAATTCTTTTCAGAGTTTTTAATTGTGAGCAAAAATGTTGACTCTTGCTGAGGAAACAGAAAAGAAATTATTTTGGGTAGTTCAGTGAATCAGGAGGTGGGTTTGAGAACCAGGCTGAGGGTTAAACTTCCAAGAGAAATGATCAGAACCATCACAGCAAGGTCTGATGAGGAAACTGTCACCACTGCCACCACCACAAAGCACTAGCAGTTCAGTTCACCGCAGCCATCTCTATTCCAGGAACTCACCTCCACAGCAGCCTCTTTTACTCTCGGGACACTGCTACTTCTTTATTTTTCTTATTTGCACTGGCTAGAACTTCCAGAATAATGTGACTATTAATGTTAATGAGGAGCATCTTTTTCTTATTCCTGCCTTTAATGGAAAAATGTAGTGTTCACTTTGGTTCACTGTTACACGCGGGTCCAGAGAGTGTTAGGGAAGTCATCTTCACAATTTGTAGTATATTAAGGGATTTGTTTTAATTTTATTTATATTTTTTCTCCTCAAAAATGAATTTTGAATTTCATCAGATGCTTCTTGGTTAAGATGATCATAGGCTTTTATTATTTTTTATTTTAACCTGTTAATGTGATATAGTGATAGGTTTTCTAGTATTTAACCTTCCTTGTATTCCTGAAATAATGCTTATTCAGTCATGGTGAGACAACTTCAACGTAGCATAGAGATTATGGGAACATGTCCTCGCATCTCCCTGCCTGGGTTCCAATCTAGGCTAGTCCATTTATTGTGACCCTGGACAGGTAACTTAGCCTCTGTAATTCTCAAATTTTTCTTCTCCAAAATCAGGTAGATAATAATAATACTTCCATAAGAGTTATATGAGAATCATTTGAGATAATTCATGAAAACAACAGTACATGGCACATAGTAAGTATGTGGTAGATGTCAATTAGTATCTTTATTGTCTCTTACTCTAATGCTGATTTTATTAATATTGTATCCATAATTCTTGCAAAATGTTTCCAAGTGAGATTAGCTTGTAGTTTTCTTTTTAGATGCTGTTTTTGTCATTATCTTTGATACTTTTTTGGTTTCAGGGTTATGTTAGTTTTGCCAAGTGAACTGGAAAGGTTTCCATCTTCTTCCATACTCCAGAAGACTTTAAACAACATTTACATTTCTGTTTAATTAAGGGGTGAAAATTTTTCTGTAAACCATCAGAGTCTTCAGTTTTCCCAGGGATAGTTCTTTGGCAACTTTTCCATTTCGTTCGTGGCTTTTATCTTTTTAGATGTTTTATTTAAATTAATTTTAATCATTTGTACTTTCTTAAAATATTGTTTTTACCATACAGTAATAAATTCAAATTTATTATAGTAAAATTATACGTACTATTTTCTTAAGGGTTTTTTCTCCTTAAAATCTGATGTTACCTTCTTTCCTATTATGTTACAGAATTGGTACTTGCTATTCTTCACCTTTGTTCAGAACTAGTAGCAATTTCCTTGTCATGATTAGTATAGATAAGTTCTAGAAATATATCAATAAAAAGTATCTCAATAGTTTTGCTAATTTATCAATTTCCATTTTTAGGAATTCCTTCTTCCATGTTTCTTTTGATTATTTTAAAATTATTTTTTCCTATTTTAATGCTTAGTTTGTTTATTTGCCTTCTTTTTTTATTTTAGATTGAGGCATTTTAGGCTAAGGGACTAGGCATTTTCCTCTGAGTACCGTTTAATCCCATCCCATATTTTTACTAAATCTATTGTTTTAATGTTCTTTTCAGACACTTATAGTTTTGATTCCTTCTTTAATCCAAGAATTATTCAGAAAGAATGCTTTTAATTTTTAACTACTTATATTTTTCATAGCTTTCCAAAATCGATTTCTAGTTTTACTGCATGGAGGTCAGTGAATGTGGTCTGTATAATTTTTTTCCCTCTAATTGTTTGATCATGATTTCAGCAAGAAATCTGAAGAAACTGGGAGTCAAACATAGACTTAGAGGATGCCATATTGAGCTTGAAAGTTCTCCTCTATCTTTCTTATTTCAAAATATTCTAAAGTAAGCGTAGTACCTGCGTAAGATAGCAGATAAACTATTACTGTCTATTATCTGTTTACCGATGATAGTATCAATGTGTGTCTTACTGCTTAATGTAGATTACAATTTGTCTCAACTGAGTGTGTCTACTTTCATAAACTGTTAAAGATTTTAGAAGTTTTTTTTTTTTTTTTACTTTTATGTAGGAAACTCATTTTTCTGCTCTCTAATATGAAGGTATCATCATTATTACTCACTTTTGTAATAAAAATTATTTGTAGTATTGATTAGCTTTTGTTTGCTATAATTTGGATTTATTTTCAATATTCAAATTTCTCTTTTGCCTAAATTCCACTTTTAAGGATATTTTGTTTTGTTTGTTTCATTGTTATTTTTGCAGAACATGGTTGGAGAGTGGGCCTTACCAGAAGAAATGGTTGATAGTTTACCACCTTCCAACAATTGCATATTGGGCCATGTAATTCGCAGACTAGTTGAAAAATCTCTTCCTCCTCAAGTTGAATCAGCAGAACCTGAATTACCTTCATTTGCCATTAAAGGATGCTTATTGGGGAAAACATTTAGTGGAAAAACTACTGCTGTAAAGTTTCTACAAAAAGGTAGAGTTTCTTTTTTTTTTTTTTCATTTATTGGATTCTGTTTACATTGACTGTAGTTGCAAATAGCTATGTCTGTAGAAAACATACATGACGATCTGCTAATACGCTGGGAAATTGTCATAAAATAATTTTATAATAGAGTGATCATATAATTAATTATCCAAGGCCAACACTTTTGGGAGTAGAATCATAAACTGGGCCTGCCCCATGCAAATCTGGATATATGGGTATGCTATATAATGATGATGCAAAGTATAAAGAGAAATAACAAGTCTTCAACTTTTCCTCATAGATGTGGGAAATTAATAATTTGTGACAAGTACTAAAGAAATCTACTTAATATTGTAAATGTTTTAATTCTTCACATCTTTTGAGTTCTCACTTTCCCTTTAATGAGCCTGTGGCTTTTTCTGTAGAAGCTCTTTCAGTTAGAAGCAAAATCACAGGTTTCCATCTATTTAATTAGTTTTTATTCAATAATACCTATTACTGTTTTCACTGAAAAACTCAAAATTTGCACTGAGGCCAGTCCATCTTGTACCATGCCAAGGCAGAGAAGGGTAGGTCATTATTGAGATGCTTGAAGGATCTCCTTATAAAGTAGTTTGACAAAAGCAAGATAAGATATCACTTCACACCTACTAGGATGAGTATAATCAAAAAAACAGAAAATAATAAGTGTTAGGATATAGAGAAACTGGAACCCTCATACATTGCTGGTGGGAATATAAAATGGCACAGGCACTCTAGAAAGCAGTTTGGTGCTTCCTCAATAAGTTAAAGATTTACCATATGACTCCAGCAGTTCTACCACTTGTATATACACAAAATGATTGAAAATAGGTGTTCAAAAAAAAAAAAAACTCTTATACAGGAATATCCATAGTAGCACTATTAATAATAGCTGAAAGGTGGAAACAATTTAAATTTCTATCACCTCATGAATGGATAATGAAGTGTGGTATATCCATATAATGGAGTATTATTCATCCATAAAAAGGAGTGAAATACTGATACGTCCTACAACCTGGATGAACCTTGAAAACAAGACGCTAAGTAAAAGAAGCCAGACACAAAATCATACATATTGTATGATCCCATTGATATGAAATATCTAAGATAGGCAAATCCATAGAGACAGAAAGCAAATTAGTGGTTGCCAGGGGCAGAGATGGGGAGATAGGGAGTGGGTACAGGGTTTCCTTTTGGGGTGATGAAAGTTGTCTAGAACAAGATAGTGGTGATGGTTGGACAACATTGTGAATGACCTAAATACCGCTGATTCTGTCTTGTAAAATGGTTAAATTTATGTTGTATGAATTTTAGCAAAATAATAAAAAAAAGCAGCTTGATCCAAATGACAGTTGTAGAGGGTCCTAAAGACAGTGATATAGGGTGAAGCCAGTACAGAGGAAAATGATGTCAATTTCCTAAATGAACAGCTATTAATAAAATTGTCTTTTGTATGTTAGATTTTCCTATTCAGATACTTTCTATTGACACTCTTGTCCAAGAAGCTATCCAAGCATTTCATGACAATGAAAAAATCACAGAGGCCCTACCAATTCAGAAAGAACCCGAAGAAAAGGCTTCTCTAGTTCTGCAAGAGAAAGCTAAAGAAAGTCAGGCAAGTATGATTTGAGTTTTCTTTTCTACACCTTGTTTATTAGAGATTTGAAGCTGCATGGAATCTAAGAGATCTTCTAGACCAGAGGTTAGCAAACTTTTCCATACAGGTCCAGAGAGTAAATATTTTAGGTTTTATAGGCCAAGAGGCAAAATCAAGGATGTCATGTTGGTACTTATATAACAAGAGAGAAAATTCCACCCCCTCCATATACTCCCCCTGGTTGGACCATCAAGGGTAGTATGCCTGCTTTGAACCCAGTTGCCATCAGCTGGAGACATTCTCCTGAGCAAAGAGCCTCCAACTGATAAGGGGATGAAGGGGCTCAATTATGAGGGTTGGAGGGGGTGGGGTATGAGTGTTCTGGGGGAGTTCACTTAGTCACCAACTCCTGGAGTGAAATTCCACTAGTGAGAGCCTGGCAGCGGCCAACAGCAGAGTCCCTGACTTGTAGTTGGAGACCAACACTGGCCATGGGCACTGGCCAAGGTGCCTGCTGGAGCACAGCAGGGACAACGGGCAGAGGGGATGCCAGGTTTGGTCCCCAGGATCACAGTGCTATCTGGGGAGTGATACCCAGGGATCATATAAAAAACAGTTGGCCAGCTGAATTTGGTCTGCGGACCATAGTTTGTAGACTTCTGATCTAGAGTAGCTGATCTCAATTTTTGGGAGAGAGGTGGGTCTCTGTATGTTTTACCTGCATCATGTTCGCCTGATTTACCTGCATCATATTCCCATCAGTAGTGCATCTCGCTACATTATTGCATGGAGATTCTAGGACAGGAAATAGGAGAATGTGGCCTTGTCTTGAGAATCATGATGTAGTCCAGCCCTCTCATTTCAAAGGTGAGGCAGAAGAGGACATAAACAGGAATTGGTTTGCTTGGGGTCAGAAGGCTTGTTGATGGCTAGGCCATGATTGGGATCCCAGATTCTAAATCCGGTAATCTTTCTTCTACCTTCTGCTGCTGTCTCTGCAGTTGAATACATTAGCAGAGAATCTAACCCAGATCATTTGCATGACCTGCAAAATAAATACTATCTAACCATGAATTCTGAAAATAACTGGGAGAAGTTTTCTTCATTGTGGGCTGCCTTTTCTTCCACATTGTGGTACTCTTCATATGCTAATCAATAGGGTGATAGATCATGTACATGTTTTTTATTTCCCATATAGCTATGACTGACCCCTCTAGGATTGTTCTTTCTAAGATGATTTTCCATAAATTCCACCTCTTTCTTGGCTTTCATTGTGTTTTCAAAATGGCAGTAGCTGTATTTTACTAAGCCATTGAAGGCCAATTGAAAGATTACTCCACAGGTTACTATGTGTTTCTGTAAGTACAATTATCACCAAATTTTGTTTGTTTCCAGAAATCATTCAGTCCCTGTTAATATCATTAATGTTATAGATAAAATAGTGTATGTTTCTCAACCTTTCTTTATAGAAATAAAATTAAGAATGTTATTAAAAATATGACAATATTAAAATCTCTTTGTATGTGTGTGCATGTGTTTTCTCCCCAAAGGATCTGCAGAATGTGTTTTCAGCTGCTCCATTTCCACTTGAAACATTAACAGAAACAGAAGATAAAACTATGCTTAGTAAGTAAGATATCAAAACAAGTTAGAGAGATAGACAAACAGTAGGAGGACATGTATGTGAGCACAAACATGCTTTCAGGGAAAGAAAGGGGAGACGAGGGGAGGTTTGCATAGTTGTCTACGTGGTCATTTGACAGAGAGAGCAAGATAAACACAGAAGTCCCTAACCTTTGTCTACAAGTGGGGATAAAGAGATGAAAATTACAAAGGAATCTTTTCACTCTCCTTCAAGTAATTGGTCAGTTTTGTAGTTGTGAAAACTGCCAGAATAAATCATCCTCACTCTTCCTGGCTTTGCAGGGAGAGAGTATTTTATTGTTTCTTCTCAGCTATGCAGCTCGGGGTGAGTACTATTAGGGCTCTTGTTGTGCTACTGCTTTGTTTACTGTATTGAGAGAGGCTGCAGGTCTGGTCTCTTCCACCCACTTGAACAGTGGTTCCTTAGATAAAGTTAAGTCTATTGACAACCTTGGGCAAGACATAGAACCAAGCTTCCCAACCATAATGAAAAATTATCTCCCTGGGGATCTGGGCTTTAGTCCTTCAGATTCTTTGTAGAACCATTGAAGGAAAACAGTTTTAAGTCTTAAATATCATTTCTACTTGTGCTAGTGAAGGTGTTGCCATAGTCAATAGTTTCCTTATTTTCTAGCATAGAGTTCAGATCCCCCTGTGCCATCATCATTATTGCCATCACCATTGGGCAATGTATAGATTTACTATGAGCATGCCACTCCCCTAGAGCAGTCGAGTTTTCCATCTTTTAAAAGGACATCATCTATCCCTCATTTCAGTTATTGGTTTCTTATAAGATAATTTTAATTGATTTTCTAAACTATTACAAGAATTTTATGACATATGGTACTACAAAAGTCCAGTTAATTATAAATGGATTCTGAAAACTTATTTTTCCCATAGAATTTTAAACAACCCCTCTGACTTCTAGAGTTTTCTTTTAGACGTGTTCATTACCTATTACTTGATAATTCAAGAAAATAAAAGTATTAACATTTTAACAACTTTTCTTGAGAAACTTGTCTTGTTTTCTGAAAAGAAAACCCAAACTATATTAGAATATTTCTAATGATAGTGTTATGAGTGATCTATACTGAAGGAAGGAAGTGGAGAACACCAAGCCACGCGGTGGCCAGGATCTCCATGGTGAAGGAGGAAGGTGAAGGACATGCTGTGGTGATTCTGTTACTTCCTCCCGCTGAGCATCTCGCGCAGAGCTAGATTCAGTAACCCATCTGTCCAAAACCATAGACAGTCAAATACTAACATGGTTGTTCGTTGTAAACACTGGAGTTTGTTCTTACCACTTTTCCTATTGCTAGGTGCTGAGACTAATAAAACACCAAAATCTGAAGAAGTCAAATCAAGTGATAGTTTCTCTGAGGTAAGTGCTATAATCTAATTTTGGCTACTGGTATATTGAAATGTGTCACAATTCCTAGCATTTTGGTGTGTCTTCAAGTAGGATGAAATAGTAATATGTTCCTCTTTGGTTTTTTTTAAATTTTATTTATTTTTCTTATTGCAGTAACTTTGGTTTATAACATTGTATAAATTTCAGGTGTACATCGTAATATATTTCAAATTCTGTGTAGATTACATCATGTTCACCACTCAAAGACTAATTACAACCCATCCCCAAACACATCTCTTTGGTTTAAAGTAAATCTTATGGTAAAATATTAGCTAAGTCTGAGTTTACTTAATATTCTTTACATTTTTAACATTCTTTGTATCTAGAGAAGTGGAAGTTGCTATTAAGTTTCGCCAGGTAAGAAAGATAACACATGCTTTTTTTTAATTTTAAATTTATGCCAAATTTATATTTTTTTCTTTAATACTTAATTTACTTTTTTTCATACTCTCTTTATCTTTAAAGAATTTTCTGGAATTTATCCTTAGCCTTATTGGTGACTCTACAGATTTTTTTATTAATCTCTGAAGAAAATGTTCACAACAATTCATTCACTATTTCTTCTAATGGAAACTAGTATTTCCATATATAGTGTTGCGTTACTATAAGTGGGAATATTTTTTTTTGTCATCAAATAGAATGTCCAGATTAGTGAAGTGGGATTTCATTTACTTTATTTGTATTACATTTGATTACTTTCATATGCATTTTATCACGGAAAATAATTTTATAGTATTTTAAACTTAAAAACTGCTTAAAGATAGAAAGAGTTTTGGAAGGATATACACCAAACTGTAAACCTGACAACCAGCAGGGAGGGAAATGTGTTTAGAGAAAACGATAAACGGGGACGTAGCATTTTCACTCTATGTATTTAAAATTTAAATTAGCAGAAAGGATAAATATATTTTTATGCTTACATTTATTGAGTTACAAATCCCCTATATTCCATATTTAATTCAATTCAAAGGGCATACTTTGTTCTGTGCACTTTTGTGAGGGTTTGAGATATTGACTGAACAAAAAAGACAGCTTCCTGGACCTTATAGAGCTTACCTTCTGATAGAAGGAGACAGATAATAAACCACAAACACATAAATAAATGAATTATATGATCTGTTAGATGATGAAGATGCCATGAGTGAAGAAAAAGTGGAGTGGAATAGAGTAAGGAGGATCAGGAACACAGGCCATGAGGGCAGGGAAGAGGGAAGTTTGTCATGTTAAATGAGGTAGACCTCCTTGAGAAAGTGAGATTTAAGAAGATTGAAAGAAAATTGGGAGAATCAGCCTACTGGACCTGGGGAAACATTTCAGGCAGCGAGAATGGCTGGACAACAGCCATGAGGCAGAGAGGTGCCTGGCCAGTGGGGTGGGAGGGTAGTAAGGGATGAGGTTACTGAGATGAGAGGGAAAGAAGAAGAATCAGGTCAGCCAGGGTCTTATAGGCAATGATTAGGACATTTGAAGTAAAAAGAGGAGAGTTTGCAGGGTTTTGAGTAGAGATATAATATCGTTTGACTTATAAAATGCTCACTCTGGTGGCTGAGTAAAGAATATGCACTAGGGATGTTCCTATTGATATGGAGTAGCTTTTTTGGCTAGCCCTCCTACAGATAACATTATAAATGTTGGACAAAATAGAAAAGCTAACTATCTGAGGGCCAAAAGCATGCAGCAAAAAAAAAAAAGAAAAAACCAAAAAAAAAAAAAAAAAAACAAAGCAGCCAAACAAGCAAGCAGCAAAAACCAGGCAGAAAATGTATGGCCTTTGACCACGGACAGAAGAAAACTTCAGTGGACAAGACCCATGTTTATACAGGTAACCCCGGGGACACGCTTGCTACATGGCATGAAGGGCTAGAACTCAAGCAGAAAGCCTCAGTCTCTTTGAGTTAAGGTATTAGAAGATGAAGTCTGGGGATGCCAGAGCAGCTGAAATTGAAAGAGGAAGATCTTGGAAGGGAGGGAGTCACAGAGGAGGGGCCTCAAAATCTGCACACACATTTTCCTCAAAGGCTTGGTTGACTTCCGAACTTTGCTACATGATCAGTGCCGTCACCACAGAGCATGACCATTTTATTTTGTTTTCCTTCCAAATATTTTGAATCTGACTTATAAAATAGCTGCACTGTCCCATTTGTTGTTTGTTTTCACAGCTCACTGTGCGTGCTCAGCTTGGTGCAAAGTCAGAACAGTTGCTGAAGAAAGGAAAGAGCATTTCTGACATGTTGCTAGTTAGCATCATGGTAAATGCTATTAAGTATGTATTATTTGTTGTATCTATTTAGTATATTCTTTACCAATAGAGGTACATAAAGAATAATATAGAAATTTTTTTTTTTTTAGTATCTAATGAATACTTCTCCTCTACATCAGAAAACATACAGCAAGATAAAGATAGACTTTATGATTTACGTGCTTATATTTCACTTCCTCATCTTTACCAACCATGACTTCTTTCACCTAGATGTGGATTCAGGTCAGGTTCTATTCTGTGTGGGGAATTCAAAGAGAAGTCAGATACTTAGAAAAGCCAAGGGACAGATGATGGAGGGAAGAAATCCTAACTGTCTGGTCACAGGCCAATGTGCTTCCTCATTTTGTGTTTCAGAGGAGGAAGTGAACCCAGGGATCCAAAGGCTGGGCTGTGCTGGGTAGGAAGGCAAAGAGAAAGTAGAGGCTGCACAGGCAAGGAATAACATATAAGCATAGCACAGAGATGATGTGTGATGGGGGTAAAGGAAAAATCAAAATAGGCTATAATTTTATAATCTCTCCCTTTCTCCTTTCTAAGTGATACTGAATCTGTTAATCTCAAGTTTGTGTGCCTGATGCACAATAAGCTAATCACTGAGACACCAGTGCTTGGAGATGGAGAAAGGTTTATCTGAATTGGCCAAAATGGGAAGGCAGGAGGATAAGTTCTCTAAAATCTGCCTTCTCAAAGAAAAAAGCAGGGAGTCATTAGAGAGCTAAGGGGCTTGGGAGGAGGAGTTTTAGAAAAACAAAGGGGAAGTCTGTGTTTCTTTCACTCCGGATAAGCCCTTGGGCAACCAGACTTCTGGGCATCAAGGGCAGCTGGGGGCTCATTATCTGGTGATCATAACTTCCTTAAAGGCATTCTTTTTCTTCTGCAAAACAAGCTCATAAATCTTTTGACCCTTGAGTCACAAGAAACAGCAAATTGACAAGGTTAACTTCTTTTCATCTGTATCTGTGTTGGGAACAAGGTCGAAGGGTAATCATGTTCTTATTGAATGTTTATAGTAACCCTCAGGTACCTGCCTTCGTAAGGAGAAAGGATTCTCCTCAGCCTTCCTTTGTAATACAGAAAAAGGAGAAATTAAAAGAAGCCAGAGAGGCTCAGTTGATCCATATAATAAAGAGATGAGACTGAGAAGGATGGAAAAAAGACTCAAAAAGGCTCTTATGAAAGAGTTTTGGAGAGCTTAGAGTGGGTGAGGAAATACAATTGAGGTAGCTGTGCTGTGTGGGAAACATTAAGACCGAAAGAGGTGAGGAAAGGAGCTTTTAGAGAAGTTTTACTGTGTGTCTGGAATGGACTCCCTCTTTAGTGTTTCAAGAGATCTCATTAAAGATTTAAGTTGCCTCCTAGTTGTGACGTATCTTGGACCAATTTACCCTTTGAATGCAACACTGAAGAAATTGGGCCACAGGGACACTACCCTCAGAGCTGAAGGGGATCTCACTCTGTTAGTTGTAACATTCTCAGAACTGGCATAAAACATGGTTTAGCCATGGGACTCCTTGTTCAAAGAAAATTGTATATGAAAAGTATCAGCTATAAACAGAGCTTAGCTTTGGTTTCAGTGGAGGCTGGAGTATCTACCCTCGACCTTCAGAACTTCACTACTTTCCCACCACTATCCTCATTGACCCTGAGGCACCTTTCGAGCACTATCATTAGTCTGAAATCCTTTCATCTAGTCCAAATCCATCCTTTTTCAGTGACGAAAGGAGGGTGCATGGCAGTTCAGTAAGACAATTCAGTCACATATTTGGTTAGTGGTGTAGCCAGGGTCAAAGCCCAGGTCTCTTCACTCGTTGCCCGGCATCCTCACACTCCAGCTGAGCAAGTGTGACCCTGACCTCTTCCTCCCTCTGAAGTAGCTCGTGAAACTGTGGTGGGAGAAGAGGTCACCCAGACCTGGTGAGGTGCTCAAGAAACTTCTCTATTTTAGGCCAATGAATCAACAAACCCATTCTATGCAGAATGCTTTACCAAGCTCTGGACAAGTTATAAAAGCAAAATGCGCTCTTTTCCTGCTCTTCTTGGGCTAATGGGGGAAATAGAGGCAGTGACCTGAAGGCAGCTGATGCTGTGGAGGGATCACTGAGTTTGGGGTCATCTGCAGTTTTGTGACTTGGGACAAGTGATAAAACCTCTCTAAAGTACAGTTTTTCCCCTCCCTCCCTGCCACACTTTCAGAAGGGTCACATGCAGGCACCAAAGCAGACTTACAAACCTTTGGGAAGGGGATTCTATTGTTTAATATGAGTTCTAACAGAGAAATAAGTGAAATCATAACTTAATCCAAAAACCAAAATCTCAATTTTGCGTAAATTAGGGGTTTAGAAGAGCAAAGTTGGAGTTTATGCCCTTTTCACATTTTCCAATTTAAAGAACTAAAGTGATAATTCTTGGAGCACCCATTGTCTATAGAGGATGCTGCACTGAGGGTAAAACCTCAAGAAGTGGGCCTTATCCTTCAGCAACTTATAATCGAATTGAGGTAAAGAAGACTCGAATTTTTCTAAGTCAAGGAATATGATGTATGATGAAGTGAATGAGAGAGGAGTTCAGATCAGGTGGTTTAAAGACTCCATGCTGGATTGGGTTAGGTAGAAGAATCCTCCAGGTTGGCCATGTGAGTATCCACTATATGCTCAGCTCTCTGCTGGGTTCCTAAAATGCGTCATTTCAGTTCATCCTCGCATCTATCCTGTGAGGTGTGTCATGTTGTCTCACTGTACATGTGAGGAAACAGGTTCAGAGGAGGAACAGCCTATGAACACAAGCTACAAAATGCAATTCGTACTCATATAACAGTGAGGAGATTAGTTTGTTTGATGTAAATGGTTCAAAATTGTGTGAGAGAAGAGGTTATGGGGAAGTAAGTTGGGGCCAGTTAGTTTTAAATACCACGTTCAGGCCTCCAGACTAGATTTGGAGGGCAGCAGAGACCCATAGAAGGATTTTAAGCAAGGGAGTGATTATGGTGCACTAGTAAGCCTAATTTTAGATAAAAAGTAATAAAATTCATGCAGAAGGAGGTTATTGTGAATTGAAAGAAAGACAAAGGCAAGATTCACTGTATTATTATTTTGATAGATTGGGTCTATCAAAATGTTAATGGTTTGTCCTTTTCAATTCAGTCAGATAGCTTTGGATCAAGGCTGGGTCCTCGATGGTTTTCCAATGACACTAAACCAAGCAAAGCTTCTGGAGGAAGCTCTCACCGGCTACGACAGAAACCTCATAGAACTGGAGGAAAAGAAAAAACAAATATCCACATTGGCTGTTGATCCTACAGCTTCCAAAGAAGTGCCTCCTCCCCCTTCTGCATTTGATTTCGTCATGTTATTAGACATTTCAGACAATTCTTCACTAGATCGTATGAATGACATCATGGGTAAGCTGGACACTTTTTCCTTCTGCTGCTATTCTTGTTTACAATTCAGTGTTCTTTATTTGTTCTTTGACTGAATCAGTGAATATTTGCATTTACAATTATAAGTGAGTAATAAAGAATCCATTTCAGCCTTCCAAAGAATAATCTAGCAGAGCACAGTTGCCTCCTGCTTTGACTGTCAGTTTTCAGCACCGCAGGCCAAGCATGGAACTAGCAGGGAATTCTGTGGCAACTGCAAGCATCTCACTGAACCCTTCCATCAACTTAGCCGCTCCTCTGGCAGAGAGGGACCCTTTTTGAGACTTTGAAGCATGAAGGAGCTTCTTGTGGCTATCTAGTACAGCTTAGTGGGTCACCCTAGTGAAGGGCATAGACCACTTCTGTGCTTTGTGCAAGGATCTGGTACCATCCTTCCCTTGAACTGTGTGTGAACTCTGAGGAGCAAGTATCAGTTGGCTGGAGTCCTCACATGGTGGAGTTGAATAGTTTTGCCAAAATTCATGGTTTATTTAACTTCTTTTCATCATTGAAATGAAAATATTACTTTATTCCATAAATTAAATATTTATGGATAAAAGCATATATTCTTGAGCCCTCACTTTCTGAGTTATGAGGTGTTTGACCTGGGAAAGGTACTTCATTATTCTAACCTTAGTTCCACAATCTATATAATAGAATGCCTCATTGTGTTGTTATGGATATCAAAGGAAAACTGTTTCTTTACTCGCAACTCTTCTGACACCAAATGTGTGGATTTTCCACACCACCCAATTCTCCAGTTCTTGGAAGACACCAATTGGGCATCCTACAATTTAATCCAATTCTGGCACTAACTACCTGGAGTTACCACAGATTTCCACAGGTTAAGGACTTAGCCCCACAAGACTTCCCCCCACTTCAGATACCAGTCTCCAGTCGTGGATCCCCAGGTTACACCTACTTCTGTCTAACTTGACTACAAAATTGGGAGTTTCCATGACCCCTTCTCCAGTTTGATAATTTGCTATAATGGCTCACAGAATTCAGGGAAACACTTGACTCACTGTTACTGGTTTATTATAAAGGATATCATAAAGGATACAAATGAAAAGCCAGATGAAGAAGTATGTAGGGTAAGGTCTGGAAGAGTCCCAAGCTTAGGAGTTTCTGTCCCCTTGGAGTTTTGGGGGAAGCTCTTCAAACCATTTCTTTGGAGTTTTTATGGAGTTTCCATTATGAAGGCATGATTGATTAAATCATTTCCTGTTGGTGGTTAACTCAGCCCTCGGCCCTCTAATCAGTAGGTTTGTTCCTGTGACAAACAGGCTCCACCCTCCAAGAGTTGCCTCATTAGTATAAACTCAGGTAAGGTTGAAAGGGGCTTATTAGATGAATAACAAAAGATGCTACTTTCACCCCTATCACTTGGGAAATTACAAGGGTTTTTGGAGCTCTGTGTCAGGAGCCAGAGACAGAGAGCAAATATATATATTTCTTCTTATATCACAGGTATTAATTGATGTAAGTGTTAAACTCTTAGGATAGATACATAACAGTTATCTATGTTAGGTCCATAACAATAACTGTCTACTAATTACATCAGGAAAAATTGTGGAAGACTTTGAAATGAACAAAAGATTGTTGTATATCCTTTCAACAATAGGCTGAGTATTATCTATTGGACCCTCTGGAATATCTGATTCCGTAGAGGTTGTGCTTTCATTGGCTTTGACTCAGCTCTTCTATAACTCTGTAAATTGTAGGAAACTGATAGTGATTCCAATGAGTCTTGACCACAGACATGCAAATGAATTTTATTCAATCAAGATACAATTAATTTCTACACTTTTGAAAACTTGATTCCAAGTATTACATTCCTCTATACATGGTAACCAGTTTTTCATCTAGTAACATTTATTTCAACATTCCTGATTGCCTACAAATGTGTCTGTTGTTCAGATTCTCATTTGGATTGGTTGTAACATCTTACTGATTCTCTCATTAATTGAAGAGTTAAATGATGTCATTTTACATTTGAGTCTTGTCTTTTCCTTTTTAAAAAACTGCCATTTAACAAATGGTAACATTTATCATTCTTTTATTACTGCTGTTGCTACTAATAAGATGACATTCAGAGCTGGGAGAGACCTACAGGATCATCTATTCCAATGCCTTTATAGATGGGAATTTAAGGCATGAGCACGTGACTTGTCCAAGGTCACATTCATCCTTATTTTGAGTTTGTGTAATTTTGAGATCTTCCTTTCATTGTTTACTTAAATAAAATGACAAAACCATTTCATGTTACTTAAGCTGTTGAGCCCAGTAGTTTAAACTGGGCACTGTCCATCAAATTTCAAAAGGGAGAATTTACTTCTCTTCATACAAGGGAGTAGGAGCTATGCTGATGGTAGTGATGATTCTGCTTGTTCAGCATTCCCATTGAGGGATAACTGATGATTGGCTGAGAAAGCTGCCAATTTGTGGCCATCTGGTGGCAGAACAGGGCCCTAAACTCAAGATCAATTTGACTTGAAAGTGGATATTATTATAAAGTGCACACATAGACCTGTGGGTGAGAGCATCCCTGAGAGCTGATTATAACCCTACAAAGTCCCCAGAAAGTTTGTCTACCTCTTGGGGTTCCATTGGAAACATATTGTTGTGTGATTCAAAAATAGAAGGAAATCAATTAGCAAGAATTTTTCAAGAAATCCAACTCAATCCAGGTTAAATTCTTTCAATTCCCTATCAAAATTATATGACAAATGATTCTGGCAAATTTGTGAAAGCTGATATTAGCATCTAAATAGTTTGATGATCTTAATTCTAGGCCCTTGGCTTGTAGCTAGACTTAAAAATGCCCTTTCTCCACTATTCCAGGGAGAGTTTCTTCTATCTCAAATTTTATACACATAATCTTATTTACTCTCAGAAATTACTATTAAAGTACAGTGTGATTTTTTCTTTTTATCATATGTTTCTAATATTGAATATTTCTAGATCTGAAGTGAACTGAGTCAACTACTAGATTAGGGCCATTTAAACCATGAAAACTAGTATTAAATCATTGATTTTATAGTTCTTACTTGTTTTGGTCAGAAATGAGTATGCTAAATATGTCCACAACTTTGAAAGTCAATCTGCAGCTTTCATATTCAAGTATTTTAAGTTGTGTTCTTTTTTCATATCTTAAGATTTTTCTTTTGTAGGATATAAGATTTGGATGGCCTTTGAAAGATCATTTTACCAATTTGCTCTCCTCATCTAAAGCAAGACCCACCCTAAGCCATTTTGGACAGATGGAACTCTATTCTGCTAAAATATCTTGCTCATTCACATATTCACCTGTTATTTATTGCATGCTTGCTAAGTGCCAGACACTGTGCTAGGCACTGGTGATAGAGTAATAAAGAAGAAATGAATCCTGCCTTCAAAACGTCTAGTGGAAGTTGTAGATAAGGAGTTGTAACCAAGGGGTTACACTATAAGTTGTGTGTCCAACATGGCAGCCACTAGCTGCATGACGGATATTTAAATTAATTAAAATGAATAAGTTAAAAATCCAGTTCCTCAGTCACACTGGCCACATTTCATGTACACATATGGCTAGTGGCTACCATATTGGACAGTAGTGATATAGAACATTTCAATCATCTCAGAAAGTTTTATTGGATAGCACTGGTAAAGGTGATGGAAGCTAAAATGGTGCCTCTAGTAAATGCTTATCTAATTTTTCTAATGTGCCAGGAATTGATAACATAGAAATGAAGGGCAAGTGCCTAACCTCAAGTAGTTGACAATGTTGTGTGAGAGGAAACAAAAGTAAGCTGATTATTATAATATAGTCAGTTATGTGCTATAATAGGTGTGCCCAGCATGGGAAGAGGTTAACCAGGCCAAGATAAGGAGGCAGGTAGACAGAAATGCCTTTGCAAGACTTGGCAGGTAAGCATGATCCATCTAGAGAACAACAAGTACCTCAGTAGGGCTGAAAGGCAGCAAGGTATAGAGGAGTGGCAGGAATGAGCCTGGAGAGTAGGCGAGGGTCAGCTGAAGAGGCTTGCCCCAAGCTAAGGTGTTTGAACTTTGTCCTGAAGCCATGTGAAGTCACTGAATGATATTAAAGCTGAGATTTAATGCAATTAGTTATCCCTTTTATTATGGTCATTCTGGCTGCAGTGTGGAGGATACACTGGAAGAGAAGTGAGGTTGGAAGCAGGGAAATGAGTTAGAAAACTATTACTATCTGAAAAATGACAAGTATCAAGACAATTATAAGAGGCAAAGTAGGAAGAGTCAGCTTCAAGCAGAATTTAGGGGGCAGACTACAGAACTTAGTGATCAGCTGGGCTCGGGATATAGTACAGGGAGAACAAGATGACTTCAAGTTTCTAACCTGCACAACTTTCAGAATGATGATATCATTCGCATATAGAATATGGAAAGAAATGCATAGAGTTTCTTTAGAGACAAATTGAGCTTGAAGTGCCTGTTGGACTTTTGAGCTAAGATGTTTAGAGAACAGTTCTATAAATGGGTCTAGATATCAGAAGGGAAGTGTGTACTAAAGTTAAGGATTTGAAGGTGAGAGAAATCATCTAGGAAGAAAAATATATTTTGAAAAAGACCCAGGATGACACCCAAGAAAACAACAAAATTTAATGAGGAGAACAAAAGAAGAGTTTAGAAGCAGCAGCTAGGGAGAGAGAAAGAAATCCAGGGAAAGCAGTGTCTCACAAGCCAAAAGAGGACAGATTTTCAGATAAAGGTGCTGTACTACCCTCCTCCCAGACGGTGGGGAGCTGGAGTCCTGAGGCGTGGGCTGGGGTGTGGGAGCCCAGTCACTAGGATTGGGTGCAGCATACCATCCTGCAATGCTTGGGATCCATATAAAAGCCTGAAGAACAGCATGGCAGGAAAGCAGCCTCCATCCAAAGCCAGTGAGCTCAAAGGTTGAACATCAGTCCAGTCAGGGCTGGGCAGGGAGTAATGGACCAGACTCAAAGTCAAGAGGCAGAAGACCAGGGAGGACTAAGGAGAGGGAAAAGCCAATATGGGAGCATAAGACTGTGTCAGAATGGAATAGTAGGGCCTGCCTGGGTTTTTAGACAGTGCCTTGGGCTGTTGGCTGGCCTGAGAGGAAGCAGCAGGGTTCATAATACGGGGAGAGGTACAGAGAAGTTTTGAGTATAGGCTCTGTGTGGTTAACCTTTGTGACTGATGTTGATTGAAAAGAAACATGAGGGGGCTTCCAGGGCTGATAATATTTGTTTCTTGATCTGGATGCTAACTGTTTTCAGTTTGTGAGGTCATTGGGCTGTAGAGTAGTGCCCCCCTTGTCTGCAGGGGATACGTTCCAAGACCCCCATTGGATGCCTGAAACCATGGATAGTACCAAACTCTATATATACCATGTTTTTTCCTATACATACATACCTATGATAAAGTTTAATTTATAAATTAGGCACGTACGAGATTAACAACAATAATAATGAAATAGAATAATTATAACAATATAATAAAAATTATGTGAATGTTGTTTCTCTCTCTCAAAATACCTTATTGTATTGTACTCACCCTTCTTCTTGTGATGATGTGAGATGATACAATGCCTACGTGATGAGATGAAGTGAGGTGAATGACGTAGGCATTGTAACTTAGAGTTAGGCTACTACTGACCTTCTGATGATACATCAGAAGGAGGATCATCTGCTTCCAGACCCTGGTTGATTGTGCATAACTGAAACTGTGGCAAGGGAAACCATAAGGGGGGACTACTGTATATTCTATTATGCATTTGTTTTGGCAGGTATAATTCAATACATGGTTTAAAAATTAAAAAGAAGTCCAGAGCCTAGAGTTATATTGACTGGAATAAAATCCCTTCTCTGCCATTTATGAACTGTGCAATTTGGGGTCAATTATAGAATCACAATCCTACTTCACAAGTTTTCTGTGAATATAAAATACCATATGTATAAAAACATTTAAGAATTGTATGGCTGTAACTTTGAGTGGTTTGTAAATTATTTAATTAAGTAATTTTGATATCATAGCTGAAGCACTTTCAAGTGAGACTCCTCGTGAAGATATCAATCAGCGTGTAGCTGCTAACCAAGATATGGATGAGGACCAGAATTTAAGAGACCAAATACACCATAGGTTAGTTTAAAACTCAACATCCTGCTTCTTGTTTCTTGCCATTTGAACAAACTAACAATTAGTCACTTTGGAATCATCAGAGCTAGAAAAAAAGACTTATTTCCTAGCATTCAGTCTTTTACAGGTAAAACAAAACTAAGTAGCTTTGATATTGAGTGAAATATTTGTGTGCTACCTTCCATATTCAGAGCACAAGTCATCATAGTCTTGGAAGAAAGTAATTAAATCAGGCAATGCTTCCCTTTATGGTTCCGTGAATTTACAAATTCATTATACGGAATCCTAATTCAGCCCTCATTCAGCAAATGCCAGTGAAGACGGTGGCATTTCGAAGAGCTGGGCATGACACTACTGATTGTAGTTCTAAAACTACGGCTATTTTGCCTAAATGAAGTTACGCTTACAAAAAAACCTCATTCTTTTAGTTATATGCAATTTGCTCATTGGAAAAGAAAATTTAGACAGTTTTATGAAACTCTGAGAAATCTAAAAATATGAAGTGAGCCAGGGATGAGTAATTTGAGCTACATTAAGCCTGTTTACTCTCAAAGAAGACAAGAAAGTTTCAAGAATCATTCCAAGAATATATTTGAGTAAACCAAATAAGTCTGAACCAGCTGCACTTACTCAAAGATGTCTTTAATTTCTGTCTCTAAGAAAAAGAAGATGACCTAGGTGGCTCAGGCTGCAGCTACCATCAGAAGCGTGCTCAGATTATTCTGCTCTGAGTGCAAGTGATGTTTCCTTAGATTTCCACTTACAGAACTGAACTTGCACTAAAAGTTTACTGAAACGGTGGCATTTTCAAATCTTCTTTTACTCGTTCATATATCTCAAAAGATCTGTCTTGATAGCATTAAGTAATTTCTTCTTTAAAGTGAATAATATCCCACTGCCTCTAGATTTCAAGTTGTTTTTTTCAGATTTAACCATATTGGCAGCCTATTTTTTCATTATGCAGATCAGATAAATCATACTTAATGTTGCACAAATATTTCAGACAGGATGTCATATTCATCCAATATTTTGATTTTACAGAATTGTAGGCTTCTTGGACAACTGGCCTTTATTGGAGCAATGGTATACAGAGCCAGAAAATATTTTGATAAAAATCAATGCTGAAGTAGATAAAGAGTCTTTATGCCAAAAAGTAAAGGAAATGTTTATGACTGAAATAATGAAAAAAGAGAATAAAGGTAATTACATTTCTTTGTGATTTTGAGTTTATGTAACTAAAATGTGTGGTTTTAATGAGTTTAGGAGGAAATGAAAGTCTGGTTGCACTGTAGTGTTTACAAGTGTCTCTACCTCTGATTTTAGCTTTCTGCTGCAAATGTTTATAAATAAAAGATTTTTCTCTCTTTGTTTTAATTTAATCAAAAGAGGTCATCTCGCTGAAAGTATTGTTTCATGTGAAAAAAATAACAGAGTTAAAATTTTAGATATTGTAGAGAAGGGTAAAGATTTCAATCTGTTAACCTCAGCATTATAAGGAAACAGTGAATTCTTCCTTTAGGTTGGAAACAGTAAGCAATTTATTTCCCCCAAATCTTCCTGTGTTGGTATTAATTTACTGATTATTAACTCTTTATTTATAAACCTACTTCTGGGGTATATCTCACCCGCATTGTGAACCATCCTGACCTCCTTCATCTAACCAATAATAAATGCTCATTAACTTTTCATAGTATTTTTGGGATTTATTATTAAAAGTGATCTTAAGCCAGGCCAGCCTCGTGACACAGTGGTTAAGTTTGTGCACTCCGCTTCAGTGGCCCTGGGTTCACTGGTTTGGATCCTGGGTGTGGACTTGTGTACTGCTTATCAAGCCATGCTGTGGCAGGCATCCCACATATAAAATAGAGGAAGATGGGTGCCAGTCTTCCTCAGCAAAAAGAGGAGGATTGGCGGCAGATGTTAGCTCAGGGCTAATCTTTCTCAAAAAGAAATACGTAAAAATAAAAAATAAAAGTAATATTAAGCTCATGCACTGCCAGTGCCACACTTCAACTGAGATTTTACCTTTGAGAAAAAAATATTTCTCTTTTGTTTACCAAATACCCCTAATTATATTGGCAACTGCAGTTTCTTGATATAGTAAAAAATGGTGATAGCTGAGTAGTATTCCATTGTTAATTAATTAATTTATTTTTAAAAATGATCAAAGTTAAGAATATCACAAGGATTCTAAAATTGTCTTGATAGCATGCTGTCTCCTATCACTAGATATAGGACCTAACTACCGTAATATATCAGTCAACTGTCACCAAAATAGCACCTGGTATGTATAACCCACAATCACCATGGCGATCCACGAGCTCACACTCATAAAGACCAGCTCCGCCATCTAAATGTCTGCTCCCCAAGAACACCCATGTGAAGCTTTCAGACAAAACCCAAACCAATCCACATATTATTTAAGAGGTTTAACATGTTATTTGACAAAGTAGTCTGAGAGGAGGGAAGAAAACTCTCACAGCAATCTTACAGAGTGTTGGTTGGGAGGCAAAACCAAACTGATTCTAAGCTGTAGCGTCAAACATCGACAAGTTGGAATCAGTTTGTTTTTGCCGGCTGTCAGACTCACTTCCACATTTTCCTAAAGATTTTACGTTCTAATCACCAATTACATTAGCAGACTCAACTGCCACTTATTTAAGATTTACATTCCAATCAGCTAATTACTTTAACAAATATTTTATCATTAAAACAATAAACATTTATCTAGCCCAGTACTCTGTGTTAAACATCCCGATTAACTTTTAAAAACATATGAGGATGTGGTACTTCTATATATATTCTGATGTGCTAAAATGACCATAATATACTTTTTTGTAGGAAAAAGCAGTTTATATATAGAATAGTCTCATTTTTGTTTTTAAAAGTATGTCTGTGTATTAAATCTATATGCACAGAAAAGAATCTGAAGTCTGTACAATACTTGGTGGGGGAAGGAGAAAGACAAAAAGATTTAACAGCCAATCTCCCTTTCTACTTGTCTAAATTGCTGGATGTTTTTTTAAACAATAATTATATATTAATTTTATAATCAGAAAAAAACCCTTAACTTCTACTTTGAAAAAGTATCTAATAGAATGAAGCTTTCTTGCTTGGTGAATTGAAAAGAATAACCTAAGGACAGAGAGAATATGTATAAAAAGAAACAGCCAAAGCTTCTCATAGTCTCTTTTACATTGACATGTCTATTTACATTTCTCTTTTTTCCATGCTTTACTTTTATCATATTGTTTCCTCAAAGCTTATCCAGTTTCTGGATCTCAAAGGTGCTTAATAAATGTTGATGGAATATTAAAAAACCACGACAAATTGAGAGGGGAAAGAAGAGAAGTAGCCATACAAGAGGGCAAGCATTCATTGGCAGTGGTACAGTCAGTCAGTGACCAGTGGCCATTTCTAGCATGGAGGCTGGGAAGGCCAGGGAGGGCAGGAAGGTTTGCCAGGAAGATGAACCTGAACCATGAAAGGCAAAGGAATGTAACAGTAATAGGAGCCTAGAAAAACACGAACCAGCCATGCTGCGCCCCTCCAGGGTCAGGGCTGACTGTCTCCTCTGCCTGGAATGCTCTTCCATCTATTAGCCACACGGCTCACTCTTGGACTCTCTTCAAGTCTTTGCTCAAATGTCACCTTCTCAGTGGGCCTACCCTGCTCAGCATTCTATTTAAAACTTTAAAAGCTGCCCACAGCACTCCTGATCTCCCTTGCTCTGTTCCATTTATTTTCTCCATAGCACTTATTACCTTCCAACTTCTCTATAAATTAACTTATTCACCTTGTTTATGGTTTGCCTCTCACCCCTGGAATGCAAGCCTCACAGGGCCAGGGATTTTTCTCTATTTCGTTTAACTGTTGTCTCTCCGGCAACCAGAACTGTGCCTCGTGTTATTTGCCATGTTGTCAGTATCAGTAGTAGTTTTACCTTATTTTCATGTCCCTTCCTTTCCCTCAAGACACAGTTCAGTTTCAGTAAGTAGTTGCTGCGTGAATGAATGCATTGCTAAGACTTACTTGAGTATTGTGCATTATTATAAGTGCTTTATACGTATTTACTCACAGAAGCTGGTGCTGCGCATTTCCTTCCCCTTCCGTTTCCTCCTCACCTCCACGTCCTCTATCACATTGCTCCTCATCTTCTCTAGACTTTTTTCACCTTGTTTTTCCACTAGAAATTTTGAAATAATCCTTTATTTTCCTATTCCACTACATTAGCTACTTCTAGATTGTTACTCTTAAATTTGTCACCCCCTCAACAAGCCTTTCTACCTGCTACACACACACACACACACGCGCGTGTGCGCACACACACACATACACACATCCCACCCCCATCCTCATCCCCATCAACAACACCGTCAGAGGCAAGGGAAACAGTATTTCTAACCAAGCAGAAAGGCTTAAAATCTTAGCTTTAAGGGCTGAATGACTTAAGGGAGAGCCCTAAAACATGAGTTTAGCCTTAAATCAATAAGGGCAGTTTATATTTTTTAGGTTGATCTTAGTTTAAGTGAAGCAGTAAGTGTTGGAGTCCCTAATAAAAGTCCTTTCTTATCCTTTTGAAGTTAAAAAGAAGTTAGAAGAAAAGGAAGCTGAGAAAAAAGAAGTTTCCCTGACTGAGCCTTCTTCTCCTGCTGCTCCTCCCCCTCCTCCTCCTGAACCAGAAAGAGAGAAGGAAATCCACCCTCAGCAAGAGCGTTCAAAAACTCCGGCAAAAGGAAAACCACCATCAGGTGATTGACAGAGTGATTTATAATCCTGTTTGCCAGTTTCTTATTTTCACTTAGAAGAGAATTATGAATTATGGTACTAGTCCATTTATCTACATTCAGTTTCTCAGCCACTTTAATCATACGAAACAAGGCTATATGCTCAGATGGAAGTGGAAAAGCCCTGAGTAGCTAATAGCATGGTTGTCACAAAGCCCAGGTGCTTTACTGCATAGAGGGAAGTGGAGTCCTCACACTCAGATCTACTGATTAGAATAAGGCCACAGATGAGAAGAGGAAAGGCACAGAGAATAAGCAGAAGGAACTTAGGGCAGATCAAGAGGACAGACATCTATATATGCTGAACTGTAGAGTTAGGTTTACGTAAAGAGTGAGAATATCTTAAGAAAATGAGAATTAGCATAGCCAATTGTCCACGAGAATAAGGGAACAAATCAACAGCATTCATTAGAGACTAGAATTTATATGCAACTGTTCATCTTCAGTGCTGTGTGATTATCAAAGGATAGAAACAAGCACCTGACATCTCGGTAAACATATTTTATAATATGTAATGTAGATGTATAAAGAGTTTATGTAGAGAATATTTTTTAGCTTAAGTTCTTTCTAGATCCTTAACCACTAAGGGCCATTAAGTGGTAGACAATGAATATAATGACAAAAGTAAAGTGTTCAGTTGTTGAAATGCATGATATTGGTAGAATGTCAGTACCAGTTTGGTGCTGTGTACATGAAACAAATGTGGCTCTAGTTTCTGGTTTTAGCTTTATAAGTGGCTGGCTGTGCAGTACACATGTCCACCTAGCTATTCTTAATATTGTGTCATGGTTACATTTCTAAATTCCATAATCTTTCTGATTTATGGAGATTTGAGATAGGTCTGAATATTTTTAGTTAAATTTATTTATATTAAACAAACAAATTTGAAGACTTTAGTAACATATATCATGATCTATTAACGACCATTGTATTCCAATAAAATGGAGCTTAACTAAAGGCTAACTATACCAATTCTAAGAAATTTTTTTTTTCATATGAACAGTAATGCACAAAGCCATGAATTAAATACATGCCCTTTTCCCACTACCTTATTAGGAATTTAAAAAACCAATACAGAGGTCTGGAGGAAAAAATGGAAATCTTTAAAATACCATTTAGACCTGGGGCAGACAGTTTTCACAGTGGCTCACGGGAGCCTGGAGCTATCCAATAGAGGCCTTTAACCTCTGGCCATGGCTCTCCCTTCCCCTTCCTCTGCCTCCGCCTGCTCACAGTGAGGAGTGTCTATATATTTGACCCATTCCCTGAAACCAATCTTTAGTGTTTCTGCTTATAACACAGTTCAGTCTTTAAGTTTCTGAAAGTTTGCTTGCAAATTTAAAATTGTATTCCTGAATACTGTGTGTTGGAGGAATAATAAAGCTATCGTTGCTTCAAAGAGTTATGGTATCTGTCTCTTTTTTCCACCAAGGGCAGGGCTAGTGCCTGATCTTTAAAATGTCTAGAAGGGTTAATCTCCAGAGGCCTAATTACTGCCTTCCAGCAGCAATGCATTATTGGAAGGAGATCCCAGTGCTTGTGGGCATTGATGGGGCAAAGAGCAGGCAGGAGGCCCTTACAGCTCAGGGAAGCTTGGCTAAGCAATTTAGAGAGGGAGGTTCCAGCAGGTTTATTCGTTTTTATATTAATAATTTACAATTTTTTTCAAAAGATAACATTTTCAGAACTGAAGGACTGAGGCTTCTGAAAATGCCCAGCTCAAATATCCAATTACAATCTTCTTTAGAAGTGGAGATGAAAAAAAAAGAGGAGTAATTTACCAAAAAAAAAATCAGCCTGGAAATTGGGTAAAGGAGGAGGCATAGGACTCATAGTACACTGAGTACTAACAGTCATTTTGTCCAAATATCGTTCTACATTGTATATGATTCTGCATTTTATATCTGCTTCAAATGCTCTTGGGATTAAATTTGAAAAACTTCACTGTTATGTGCCCTTAGAGGATTTATTATCAAATCCACTACCAAATGTCAGAATTTAATTTAAAACTAAATTTCTCAGGGGGACAAAATACAGTAGTACTATCCATGCTGTTATTTACGAATATTTTTTGAGATTTCAGAATATATTTTGGAACTGATTAAAATATAATGGACAGAGTACGTACTGCCCCCAGCATAAATTAGACTTCCCTACAATACTTTATAAATTCAATATCTTAAGTATCTCTGTTTTTACTTTCTTTTCCCTGTTGTCTGTGCTAAAGTTTAGAGCTGGTTAAGTAGTTGGTTACCCAGAGTATTGTTATTAAAGGAACTAGGAGCTTATCTGGACTTTGTTTTTAAAGCTTATTTCTAAAAAAGCAGCTAATTCAAATGTTTGTTTCTTATTTATTTATTTATTTATTTATTTATTTATTAGTTTAATGGTCAAGAATTTGGATGTTACAAATCCTTTTATAGAAGTTAACAAAGTTTCCAGGTTAATCTTTTGTCTTTCACTTGTCTTATCTCTACGGAACCCTGGTTGTTGGATCTGAGATGTTTAAATGTAAGTGATATGTATTATGTATTCACACATTCTTATAACTATCACTTCTAAATATAAAGAATAGGTCAAACAGGCATTTAAATTGCCCTATGTGTCCATCCTTCCAATGAAAAAGAAAACTGTAGTCCAGGGAAAAGGGAAGAAAATGATTGAACCTGTTTAGTGCATCATGTGGAATGTAGTGAATTTTTTCAAGGGACTAATTTATTATTTGGGTCATCTTATTGATCTCTAGATCATCAGTTTCCCATTTTCCCCTTCCAATACATATCTGAACTAAATTCAAGGACTCCAAGGAAAATATACCCAAAACAGCCTTTGCATTACAAGTTATAGTCAGTGCGAAGTGGAAATGTAGAAGTCACAGGGCTCGCAAGTGTGGAGTCAAGAGAAGTTCAAGAATACACCATATCAAAAAGATGTGGTTAGTAACTCTTCTTCAAGGTGTTTTGGTGTCATTCTTATTACAGATCCCGTTGTATTATTGCATAAGTATCATTCAGTTGAAGTACATCCAAATTTTGATATGCTTCAAAGGGACTTGTGACTAACTTTTAAAACTCTGCAGCTATGTTGTGTTAAAGAGCTCACAATCAAATCCACTACCAAATGTTGATATTAAATTCAGGACTAAAATTCTCAGTGTGACAAAAGAGAATAGTGCCATCAGGGCTTTCATTCGAGAAGTTTCAATCCATAGTCTGTCTTCAGGTAAATTTTAACTCACAATGAAGACCTGAGTCATTTTATGCAGTTTACGAATGTAACTGTTTATCTGTGAGAAATAACATTTGATTGCTTACAAATCGCATAGCCCAGGCTATTGAAGAAAATCATCAATGATACTTATGTGTTGAATTTTGTCTAGAATCTCCGCATGGTAAGCAAGAATCTTCTCAGGAAGGAAAAGGGAAGAAAGGTGAAGCTTCACTCAAAAGAAAAGGTACAGCAGATAAAGATGGATATGATTCAATATAATTCTGCATTTTATAAGTGTCTCAGTAAAAATAGTGAGATTTGTTTAGTAGTGTGCATTGAATACTTTTCTCAGGCATTTGTAGACCATAGGCCCTTGCCAAAGAATATAACCTTAATCTTAATGCAGCCTGGCACTTAACAAAGGTCCTGCTGAGAAAAGTGATGCTTGCGGGGAATAATTTAGAGAATGTCTAATGTATAGAATATCCACTCATCGTAGATATTGTAGGTGTTATCATTGGGTGCTATGCCATCAGAAAGCTGCATATGAAACCATATTTTCTTGGGCCTCCGATGGAATTGCTTTCAAGGAATAAGCATGTTGGTATAATATCCTCAGCTTCCTCCACAACATAACATAGAAGTGGAGGTAAAGCTTTCATTATACCAATAGTAACCCAATATTATATTTTCTGAAGGGATAATACGCCCACTACATCGTTCAGTGGTCTCTATATGAAATCCCAGATGAGAACTTTCGTTCAGAATCAAAGAACAGGAAAACAGTCCTTCCTTTGAGTGGTTAGATAATTAACATCTCTAAGTGATAACATTTCCTTTTCTGTTTTGGATGTCCAGAAGTTCAGATCCAAATCGTGGCTCAGATTTAGTATCTGTGCAAGGACCTAGGTCTTAATATCTGCCTTCTAATCCCTCTCCTGGTTTTGATCACCTTCTTTAGGTTGTATTTTTCCTGACCCTAATTTCACTTATGGGTTTTTTTCTATTTTAACCATTTCTGTGAAATAAGGGGGATATAATTTTTAAGGTAACTGATAGTTGGTAGAAGAAAATCCTAGGCTCTGAAAAGCATTTTAGTTAGATTTATGTAGAAGCTGCTGTAGCAACCAATTCATTAAAGATTGAAATGCAGTTATGGATACATACAGTTGACTTTTCCAGGATACATTCAAATGGGCTGCCATGAAGGGTGTACTTTTGTTTAGCTTTTCATTAAATTGCCAATGCATTTGCAACCCAAAAGTGTGCAGTGTTCACAAAATGATGTGCTAAAAAAGATATTTATTTTGGAGCCAGCTCCATGGCATAGTGGTTAAATTTACGCTCTCCGCTTCAGCTGCCTGGAGTTCACAGGTTCAGATCCTGGGTGCAGACCTACACACCACTCATCAAGCCATGATGTGGCAATGTCTCACATACAAAAAACAGAGGAAGATTGGCACAGATGTTAGCTCAGCAACAATTTTCCTCAAGCAAAAAGAGGAAGATTGGCAACAGACGTTCACTCAGGGCCAATCTCCCTCATCAAAAAAAAAAAAAAAAAAAGATATTTGTTTTGGCATTTTAAGACACATAACTGTGATTCTCACCCTTCTCTGATTATATGATGTGATAGGCTTATATAATTACAGCCATTTGGTGAGTTAACATATAATTTATGCTCAGCTCTCACCTGTTTACTAACAAAAGAAGAATTTTCACATTGCTTTATCATCCCTTGCTTTCTCATTGTGATCTACAAAAGTAAATGGAGGATCATCATAGAATCCTCAAAAATAGGAACTAAATACACCTATGTATACTAGGTACCAAATCATCAGTTAGACGTAATAATGTACATGCTCTAAGAGCATCCTTAATTAAAAGTATATAGACTCTAAGAAAACAATAAGCAAATACAAGTTCAACCAGTTAAATATATACACTGGAGTCATGCAGTTAGCTCAATTTAAATAGCACCAACCACTTCCAAACATTTTTTGCTTTTATTTTACTGATATTCTTTTGTGCTTAGTATTTGAAATAGGTGAACTCGGTCAAGATTTAGAAATCTTTCTGTTACATATAAATGCTGCTTTTTTGGCATTTATAACAAGATTTCCTTCATTAAGAGAAAGTTACATGATTTTAATTTTTAGTATTTGAAATTAACACCATTAGGGGTGAACACTACGATTGATTATCTGTTTATCTCACTGGCCATTTTATATCAATTATATTTAAAGCATCTTTTAGCGTTTGAGGAACCATTTCCTTTCTCCTGTCTACAAACTTATATCTCCCATACTTATATTAACATCTTTGATTCATTCCTATTCTTCTATTAGATCAATCCCTACCCTTCCCCCCCACCAAATCTTGACATTGAAATGCCATTTGCAATTGTACTTATGTTGTTCTTAAAGCATTTCTTATTTTCTTCAACCCATTTACCATTGTCCCATTTCATTCTTTCGTATAACAATGGCTTTTACACCCTCTGGCCTTGCTTAGGAGGTGTTAATTAGGGGCTAAGGGAAGACAGTTTTCCATAATCAACTAAATCTAAAATGCTGAGTTTTGCCAAATTAAAATGTTTTTAATTACGAGATTTTTAAATATTTTAATGTGCATCTTTAAGGGAGTGGGAGATACAGTATGTAATAACTGAAAACATTTTGGAGAAATTTCTTCTCTCTTGGAGGAATATTCAATGGGACTAGAGTTCTGTAGAACAAGCCTTTGGAAATAATGCCATCTTTAGTTCCTCTGGCCTGCCATGTATTAGTATCAGTACTGTTCGAGTGCTTGGCTTCTGATTTGACTTGTGGTTGTAGGTACTACCAGACTACTTAGCAATAAATGTAAAGTCAATGTTATAAACATTAATGACATCTAATTTAAAGGACATGGAAGAACAGAGAAAAAAGATAAAAGTGAAATGAAATTGAAATACCTAGATGCCTTTAGCCCCTAGAGCAGTGGCTCTTAGAGAATGGTCCCCAGACCAGGAGCATCCACATCACCTGGGAGCTTGTTAGAAATACAAATACTCCGCCCCACCCCCAACCTACTGAATCTGAAACTCCTGGAGGTGCAAAGCAATTTGTGTTTTAAAAAGCCCTCTCGGGAATTCTGATGATCACTGAAGTTGGAGAACTACTATACTAGAGCCCCAGGCCTTAACCACTGGAATATCAGAAACATTCAGTTATTTCTAAGGTATTATTTATAATGTACCCCCTTCTCCAAAATATTTAAGTTGCATTACAGTTTTTTTTAAAAAATGTATATAAAAGTGCTGTTGAAATAGAAATAAAAGCCAAGCCCTGACATGAGGGAGGTGGTATGCCCAACTCAAGGACACCATGCTTATTGTGGTGGCTCATTCAACTCAGAAGAACTGAACAAACAAGGCAAAGAAGGAAGCATAATGGGTTGCTTCATTCACATTTCCAGACAGAGGAGATATACCAATTGTACAAGAAAAAAACAAAAAACTAAGCTTTTCTAGGATGAATTTCTAAAATATATTTTTATCACCTTAAACAAAGGACAGTATGTGGAACCATGTACAAGCCCTTAATAGGTTTTCTAGCAAATGCAAAATACATTGGGTTTCATCTGAAGGTTTATGCCACACCTCTGAAAGTTTATGGTTAATTTGTGATTGTGGTTCAGATAGAAAAATTCAACAACAATCTCTTTTTATAATATAATTCATAATCATAATAACAAACTACCTCTTATGGAGTGCTCACTGTGTGCCAGGCACTATACAAGATAATTTGTGTATATATATAATCTCACTAATTCTAATAACCTCTTTTGAAGTAGAAATGATCATTTCCCACTTCAAACATGAGGAAATTGAGAGTCAAAATAAATAAAGTAGTGTTGTGTTAGAAACAGTTAAACTATGAGAAGGGAAAATTAGAGCCTCTTCCGTCTTTGGAGAATGTCATCTACATGCCCATATTAACTCACAACACCAAATTGCTCATAACTTCCCCGAATTTTGCCTTAATACTGTTACCATAGTTTAAGTGAATTAAATAATTTTTTTATACTCTTAAGTTTTTTAATGAATCTATTTCTCAGCCTGTAGTTTTAAAAAAATTTTACCGGAAGTAGAAAAATTGTTTGCATGCAATGTAAATAGAAAACAATCTTAAATCAATTTATGAGTCAAATCAATAGTATTGTAAAAACTGCTCTAAAGCTTGCAAATCTCTACATATCAATCTAATGAACACTGCTGAATATGAGCAACATAAACAGACACTAAAAAGCAATGAAGTGTGACAGTCAAAAGCGCAGTCTCTGGAGCCAGCCTGCCTAGACTGAAATCCCAGCTCTGATATTTACCATATGAATGATCTAAGGCAAGTAACTTTACCTTAGAATGCCTCAGTTCCCTCATCTATAAAATGGGTTAATAAAAGTAATTTTTCATGTAGCTATTGTAAGGAATAAGTAAATATACAAAAAAGTAGACAGAACAAAGTCTGACTCAAGAGTAAATGAGACTAAGTGAATACGGGATATTATTGGCACCAGACCAAGTTATCAAAGACTGTGAACAGAAAGGAGATTCCTTTCCGTAGTTGGCGTAGGGAGTTCCCATCACTTATTACCGATAAGTATAATTAAATTAGGACCCATAAGCGATCCCAGATAACCAGTCCTCATCACTTGATAGTTGTTCACATTCCATATCTTCAGCTCCACACAGAGTAACAACATGAATTCTAGGACACTAAGGAGAGAAAACTCCCTCCTCAAGCTTTTCCAAAATAGCTTCTCAATAGTGATTTAGAGAATAAGCTGGTTCCTGTTCCATCTCTGGCTCCCTACCTAACACTGACTCACTTCTCTTCCTGGCCATGTTGCTTCAGAGCTAAAGCTTTCATCTCATCCTAGACATCCTGAGTGTCTACTTGGCTTGCCAGTGTTTGTGGCCTAGGCAGCCATCAGCACTATTTCTTAACAACAAAGAGTTGTTTTTTTGCTGAACGTGGCCAACCCCAAGACAATAAGGAAGCCATCACTGTTAACCAGTCTTTTGGCTTCTACCTAGTGAAGCTGTTAATTAAATCAGATCCTACTAGGAAATATTTGGAGACCGAAAGGTAATAATAATGCCTTTCTTTAAAAAAAAACCAATAAATCAGACTTTCCATATCTTTTCCTCCTTCCTACAATCCTCTCATCTCTCTGAGTTGTGTCAACTTAATTTGAAAGTGTTCTAGTTTTCTTAATGTCCTCTCAGCAATTGATGAACCTTACTCTTACCTTTACTGAGCTCCTACTATGTTATTTTCTTTGCTCAAAGCTGTTGCTCTATCATTTCAACTTTGACCATTTCTTTACAGATAACGTGATTAAATAAATCATGTGTCCTAAAATTGCATTTTTCTTTTTTCCTTATGATTATTTGTACTTGTTCTTGTTTAATGGGCTTCTATGTGTTACCATTAGGTTCTTATAACTGAAAATAAAAAAGCTAAAATCTACCTTTATGCTAAGCATGGATTACTCTCTAAACCTTTTATGCATGAAGAATGGCTACACTGAGGACTCAGTGATCCAACTGTCAAGCAAAAGCAAATATCTCATTAGAAACTGAAGCTTTCATATGGTTGGATGGGAGGTACTTAAAAAGGAAAGCCCTCCATTGTATTTAAGATGTTGATAGATTTTTGTGCAAAAGTGACATCTGTTTTCATTCACTATGACATAGATACATTTTTATTCATTCAAATCTTTTGCCTCTTAGCACTTTCATTGTTAAAAATTAGATAAAAGTTAAATAGAATCAAAGAACAATGGTCCAAATATATTCCCTGACTCTCTTGATTTTCACTGAGTGATCATGATATTTAAGAAAAGAAGAAAAAGAAACTCATTCCAGTCTCACATTTATAATTACCAAGTTCTTCCTTTTAGGAATTCTTCTTAGAGAAATTCATCTTAAAATGGTCATAGTGTTATCACTTTTGTTGCACTAGAGATTCATGTCAAAGAATGAAAAATCACCATATAGAAAAATATATCAAGTAAGGAACATTTTTTGGTTATTGCCTGAACAAAGATTTCCTTAAATTGTTCTAAATTTTAAAAATCTAGATACAACTTAAGACCTGTGGATAATAGACACTGTTTTTAAATGTATAAGTAGAAGTCACATAAACTCCCCACAAGACATAATTGACAATTTCCCCTCTACTTATAATCCATATATTTTAAACTAACATAAACGTGGAAGATATATTTACTTTTATAAATGGCATTATCATTAAAGAATATTCATTAAAAAAATACATTTTTGGGAAAGAAAGTGCTCCCAGTTCTGTAGGCATCTACAAACTGCATCTAAAATTCAATAATTGATCTGAAGGTAAGTGGAATTTAAACTGAATGAATTTCTAAACTATAATAACCTTGATTTTTAAGGAAATATTAATACTTTCTGAGTTAAGGTACTTTGGTCAGTCACAAGGTCTGTCAGTCCATCAGAGTGAGGCTTGTCTAGATTCCCGCTTCTTGATGCTATCTCGGAAAGTGAAGCGTGTGCCCTTTCTGAATTTTGAACTAAAAATTAGACCTCTTTCTCATCCTCATCCTTCTCTTTTTCTTGCTTCTTCTCTTCCTTCCTCTCTCTCTCACTTTTATGCCTTAATTCATCTAGGCTTATGACGCAGCAATTGCCTTCATCCATACTCCATAACAGTAGCAAGAAATACGGTTTCCTACTCAGAAACCCTGTGTCTCGTGCAGGGAATGTGAGAATATTCAGGAGCTACAATACCTCTTCTTATCCTCCCTAACATTCCTCACTGACTCTGGCAGACTCTTAAAATAACCTCCTTCCTCCCTGCTCTGCCCCTGGGCTTCCAGGAAAAGCAATAGCATCACTCGTGTTATAGCTACCCTCTCCCTCCTTCAGGCTGGAGTTTAATTTACTAGTTTTTGCAATAGTAAATGAAATATACTTTGCTCTAGAGTCTACACTTTATAGAACCACATGTTTCTTGTGGAAGCAAGGACAGAGATAATAATACAATATCAAGTTGCTTTTCATAGCCAATGAGATAAGAGAAGTTGGATTGCTTTTTTTTAAAACAAACAAACAAACAACAACACTGTTGTTGGCATTATTGGTTAATTCAGAGGGCTGTGGATAATGAAGTTTTTCATTTTTGATTTGATGAGGCTGCCCGAAGTTGCTTAAGAAGTAGTTAGTGAATTGCCTGGAGTCCACAGAAATCACAGATTTATTCATCCACCAGAATCTGGTCTCTTTCATTTACTTGTAATGGAATGATTTGATATCACGTTGAAGGTTCTAAAGGAAAATCTGCAGGAGGGAAAGTACCAGTAAAGAAATCACCTGCTGAGTCTACAAATACGTCACCTACTCCAGTAGGTCCGCCACCACCTAAGCCCGGATCAGAAGAATGGGTCTATGTGGATGAACCAATTGCTGAGGTATGGCAGTTTAGATTCAAGCTGGTAGAATTTATTGTTTCTCCTATTTATAGTAACAGTCACACCATTTTTTTGCACCATCCAGAAGGACTTTCATAGCTAGTAATGAATATACTCGTTAAAAAACCAAGATGATTTTTTGAGACTGCTCATTGAACCACATCTCATCCATTCTCTACTCACTCGCATTTCTGAGTCATGCTTTGAACTGCTGTGGAGTGCTGAAATGAAGGCCACCAATGGGTTCTGTGAGGACTAATTTTCTCCCCAGTACAAGCAGAGATGCACTTTCCTGGAAGAATGACTTCCCCAGAACACATATCCAGCAAATTATAGCCCTCCATCCATTTTCTCATGCCCTCATCATAACGCCTCCAAAGGAAGTTTAACCTCTAATTTTTTAGAAATAGTAAAAATTTTTTGAAGCCAACTAAACTAATGAAAGAACAGATAGCTTTCTGGCCTGAGAACTTTAAATGGGTGCGTTAGTGTAAGGCAGGAGATGTAAGGCAGGAGATGCTCAGGTAAGCCCTGGAAGCTCCATTCAGCACTCTGTTCTCTGACAACCACAAAGCACAATTGCCACCTACACAAATCTGTTTGCTCTAATTGATAAGTCATCTTAGGAGAATCACACAGAAAGGTTTTTCCTTTAAAGCTTTTTAAAACGACAAGAGCTTTTTGAAAGACTCCATCCCTGTCTTCCTTCACTGCGGTCCTCAGTGATTGCTTACCTTGCTAACTCTTGGCACTGACCATCTGTGCCCAGCATTTGAGACCCAATCATGAATTGTAGTGATTTGTGGTGTTGCTGTCATTTTTGGGCTTTCCTAGGGAAATGTCTTATCTCCCCAATTAGATGATGGACTCTTTGGGGGAGGGTAGGAAAACGTGGAATAATTCACTGTATTTAATACAGAATCAAACACAGTGCAGAGTATGTAATAGATTCTTGATAGGGCTCTAACGAATTCATTAAGTAGCATTGATGGGGAAATTAGAACGGAAAATATTTGAAGATGAGAACATTAAATGATATAATTATGAATTTGTGTAATTGATATCACTCAGCCAAACAGAAGCTACTTTTAAAAATAAAGATATTCAAAAACTGTCTTAGAAGCAGGATATAGAAGTGGTTGTCGGGAAGGAGATAAAATTAAAATTCTATTATTTGGCAGGGGCAAAATATGGCATAAATATTGAAATCCAATCCTTAACTCCAAACCTTGAAGCCCTTGAGAAAAATAATTCATAGAGGACAAGAGGGAAATAGAGAGCAGGAGTAAAAAAATAAACATTAACACTGAGATACGGCACCAGCTCCCATGTAGATCTTCTAGTAGTCAGGATTCTGGCAGAAAACAGGTGATAATTTGAGGGGAGTTGAATAAAGGATATAGCCGTTAAATAAGGAAACCTACAAGGATTAGATTATTACCCTGAAAACGAGAGATAGCTGGGAGCTATTATGGCCACTAGGCCTGAGAAGGTGAGGAAAGGGAGCAGAGGCTTGGACCTCACGAGGACCTCTGCATGAAGAGGGCCATCTGACTAGAGCTGTGGCCTTCAGCAGAAGGATGCAGGCAAGCACAGCGACCCAGCAGAAAAAAGCAGGGAAATACATAACCAGACCTCAAGTTCCTGCTCTCATCTCTTGCCCAGGAGGTAAAGGGCAAGGGAATTTCCTAAAGCAGTTCTCATAAGTTAGTCTTCCAGAGCACTGAGCCGGGTGGAGAATGAAGGCTAAGAAACTGGTCTGGAGGAGCAATGGGTAGATAGGCAGCACAGACGTCTAGTTACCTAAGCAAAACCATGTAGAAAACACATTTTGCTACAAATAGAAGTAGCCTTGGGCCTAGAAACAAAGCAGGCCATGGGATCCATTCTAGTCCTTTTCCCACTCTAAATTTCTCACACAGAGTTGCAGTGCTTGCCTGCCAAGGAAGAAGAAAGACAGATGCCCAGTTAAATTTGAATTTCAGATAATCAACAAATTTTATTGAGTATCCTATTCTTTATCGGGTAACACTAGTTCCAGGCCTTCCTAGGACCCAGATCTACCTTACCTCAATAGGCATGTGGAAGGAAAGGGAGAGAGAGAGATTGCTTTCATACCTGACTCTCCCAGGAGGAGGCAGCAGCCAAGTTGGAGAGCCTGGTTCTTCCCGTTCTTCCAGCCACAGGGGAAGGTGCAGAGAGAACAAAGGAGGCAGTTGGAGTGCGAGGTATTTGCTTTCCAACTTCTGAAGATTTGGAGAATATTTGCTTTGGCTACCAATTTCCTATTATGTTCAGTCTTCTCTAATGAAGAGAAGACTATTTAACTGGAAAGCGTAGATCTGAAGATCTAGCCACATCACTAAGTTCAAGTCCCCAGACTCAGAAAAATTACATCCCAGAGACTGGAAGAACCTACAGGTATGACATTATCAATAACTCATAGAAATCACAGAGGCGATTCTAGAAGACCAGATATAGGCATATGCTAAAATATTTAATGAAAGCTAGATGGGATTTAGGAATATACAGACCAATAACCTGTACATTAATCCCTGACAAAATTGAGAGAAAATTATTAAACACATGACCTGCGAGCACTTATGAAATAGAAAAGTAATCACCCAGAGCCCACACAGGTTCACTAAGACTAAGTCCTGCTAAACTGGCCCCTTCCTTTTCCTTGATAGCATTTGGGTAGGTGCATCAGGGAAGAGTCATAAACACAGTATATCTTGAGTTAAAAACAGTATTTGACGATTTCTCATGAAGTTCTTATAGATAAATGAGAGCTGTGAACAGGTTATTAATTCACTTAGGTCTATTCGTAGGTGGTAACTCTCTAAGCACAGAGAATTAAGTAATGGATTGAAGTCAACCAGGAGGGAAGTTTAGCAGTGAGTTTATTTAAAATGGTCTTTAGCATCATTCTGGATACCATATCCTTTAAGAGAGATCATGAAAAACTAGAAACTAGAAGGGGCAACTAGGTAAGAAAAAAATGTTAAAATAATATCAGAGGAGCATTAAAGGAACTGCAAATGTTTAATTTGGATAAATGAATACTTGAAGTATGGTTGGACATAGAGTTGTGGGCTGTTAGAACTTGATGGAGCCATCCAGTCTCTTAAAAATTTAACTGATGCTAAATTGGGTTCAGGTGAGTCTACCTACATCCGTATTAACATTTGTTGAGCACCTGTTACGTGCAAATCTATGCTAGATGCTGGGAATACAAAAACAAGCAGGTTTCATCCTCAATCCTTGCCTACTTCTCCTCACTCAAGTCTTCAAATACTTGACAGGCTGTCATAGGGAAGACTGTATGAATGTAGCCTGTCGTCCTCCAAAGAGCACAGCTAGGGCTGATAAGTGGAAACTACAAGAAGGCAAATTTCTGCTCAACACAGGAAGAATTTGAGTTGTGTGGCAGTGGAGGGGGCTGCCTTGAAATTTCATGCTTAATCCATTGGTGAGGTCCACAGAGAGACTGGATAATCTATCTCCAGTATTTGGCATTTCTCGGTTGAAGAGGAAGTTAGCCTAGATGACCTCTGAGGTCCTCATGTGTGATTCCCTGAGTAAAGAAATGCACAGTCAATAAGGGAATAATTGGTATGGCAAGTTTATGTTGAATATAATATGTATCTTCAATTTTATTTCATTTTGATTATTTCTTGTTTTTGATTGTTTATTTGCATCATTAAAGATAAAAGAAACTTTCTAATTTTCATGATGCACACAGCCAAGATAAAACTCTTGGGAAAATTCAAAGAAATAACTCATTATCACCCTGACATGAACTGTAGGTGTTGTCCATACTAGACATGCCCTAACTTAGGCAAAATGTGCCATCTGTGACAATTCAATTCATTCATTCAATAAATATTTCTTGAGCACCTACTATGTCTGAGACACTGTGGTAATTATAGGAAAAACTGTATAGTGGTGAACAAGACAACTATTGTTCCTAGCTTTATGATACTGACATTCTTGAGGTGGATATAGACAAATAAATAAGCAGTTACAATTAATGTCATTGATCCTATAATGGGAGAAGTCCGGGGTGGTAAGGTACAACTTCAGAGCTTCAGAGAGTGATCTTATAGACTTGTTGGATCACGGAAAGATTTCTGGAAGAAATTATGTCTGAGTTGAGACATGAAGAATTATTTGGAATAGGAATTACCTGAGGAAGAAGAGAAAGGAGAAGCAAGAAATTTCACAGAGAATGCTTTATGTAGTTGCAGTTGCTGCTTGATCTCCTTGCTTAGTGTTGCTCTTTTGACTCAATTATTTGGAAGAATTTTCACTTTGAAATAATAATTTTTATGCTTTACCATTTAACAGGAAATACCTTCATTTTTAGTACCTTACTGGGAACTAATAGAAAGTTCCTACATAGACTCCATCAAAAAAGTACTCAGGCATCTACGAGAAGACCAGCATACTGTGCTTGCCTACTTATATGACATTAGGTAAGTAAAGTTTCCTAAGTTAGAATCTTATAGTTCATAGGTATGACATGTAAGCTCCATCTCATTCTCTTAATGTCTTACAGAACAGGTTTCCAGCAGTTTCTAAGGCGTCCAGATCACAAGCAAAATTTTGTATCTCAATGGCAGACTGATTTCAACTCTCTTCCTGATGACCTGTGGGATGATGAGGAAACAAAGGCTGAGCTACACCAAAGACTGAATGTAAGGGAATCTGTGACCTGCTGGGCCAGGGCCTCCACACTCTCAGATCTTACACTGCAAAATCCTAATTCATTCCCTTCTTACTTTCTTGAGGTGTGAGGATGAGGAGGAAAATGGTTTGGACACTTGCCTGCCAACTCTCAAGAGCAAAGGCTCTTCTGCACTCTGAGTTCAGAAGGAGAATGTGGTGGCCAATGCTTCCAGAAAGGGAATCCAAGGCCAGCAGTACAAGAGCATTCTTGGCATCTGTTGTGCAGCTGTTAACCCCTTTGTTGAGCCATGTAACTGTGTCCTTGACTGGTATTATGTACATGTCTATTTTGAAGGCAGGTATATGATTGGTTGATGTCAGGGAGAAGGAGAAGGAGAGAACGGCATGGAAAACCTAAAGAGTTGCTTCTATGGTATAGATCCCTGGAGGGAAGGTACCAAATCTTATACATCTTTGCCTCTCCAACAAGCACAATGCCTGGCACTTCGTAGTCAGGCAGATTTTCATAAATTAATAAATGGAGTTTATTACCGTGATGCTTTCTAAAGCCCTCCAGTGTACAAGAAACCTGATTTCAATCTCTTACCCTTCATCTTTTCTGTGTAAATTTACAGAGCCCCTTATCCTGTTAGAGGAATTCTTTCCCTTGCCACTTAAGTATAGACTACTAATAGTCCAGTCTGATTATAATCTCAATATTTATTTGTACAACAAAAACAATGCCAGTCTCTACCCCATGGCCCATTCATCTACTCTATAAATATTTATTGAGCATCTGCCATGGTCTTAGTATTGTTTAAGGGGCTGGGGATTCCACAGTGAACAAAAAAATCTATGACCCTATGATGTATATGTTCTGGTGGCCAGAAGACAGAGAATAAGAAATAAACAAGTAAACGTATAGTGATATGTCATTGGCAATAAGAGCTATGTGGAGAACAAGAAAACAGAGCAAGGGGAAAAGGAACATTGATGTACCATTTTGTATATGGTGGTTGTGGAAAGGCCCACTGAGAAGTGAGACGGTGACATTTGAGCAAATTCAGGACAGAAGTAATTGAGTGAGCCGTGTAGCTATTTGGGGAAAGAGTATATCAGGCACAGTGAAAAGCAAAGGTAAGGGCACTGAAAGGGGAGGATGGTTAGTGTGTTTGAAGGACAACCAGGAGGCTGGTGTGGCTGCAGCAGAGTGAACGTGGCTGAGTGGTTGGTGATGAGGTCAGAGAGATCATAGGGACCAGATTAGCTAAGGCCTTGGAGGTCATTATTAGGATATTGGTGTTGATCTGAACAAGAGTTGAAACCTTGGCTTTTGGTTGTAAAAGAGTCTATAGTGGAGCAGCAGCAAGGAGACTGCCTGGGAAACCAATTGGGAAGCTACTGAGATTAAGTGAAGGCATTAGGGTGACTTGGATGAGCGGCTGCTGGAGGATTTGACCCAAGAGGTATTGAATCAACGAATGTCCTGGTAAAACTGAAATATTTTACCTCTTCTTAGACATTCCTCAAATACCAATTAATAGCTATGTAAATCCTAAAACATATCTGCCTTTTCTACCTCTTTCCTACTTACTTATAATGCCAGCCCTTCTATATACTTCTTCTTCCCCATATCAGTCAGGTGATTGTTGGTAGAAGGAGAAGGTTTTTAAATTAAAAATATCTAATGTGGGATTTTTTTAAATTCCAAATATACCACATGTTTATTGTAGACAACTAGATAATAAAAAGAAAAATTTAAAATAACAAATTCATAATCCCATTGCCAATAGTTAACCATTGTTACTACCTTGGGGCAATTATTTTTGCAAAAAGATGTGATTGCAATGTATATATTGTTTTCTAACATTCTTTTTCAACAGTAGAACATGTTTTCTTTCTCAATAAAAATTCATCATTTTTATGTCTAAAAGATATTCCACTAATGAGCTATATCCTAATTTATTTAACAAATTTCTGTTTTTAGTCACCATTTCATTAACAAATATTTGTTGAGCACAAATTTTTTATTATAGAGAATTATACAGAAAATTTCATCCAGTTAAATACTTATGACATCCTTAATTATTTCCTTGGGCAAAAAAATTACTGAGGGGCCAGCCTGGTGGCATGGTGTTGAAGTTTGTGCACTCAGCTTCAGAGCCCAGGGTTGCAGGTTCAGATCCCAGCGTGGACCTAGCACTGCTCATCAAGCCATGCTGTGGCGGCATCCCACATAAAATAGAGGAAGATTAGCACAGATGTTAGCTCAGCAACAATCTTCCACAAGCAAAAAGAGGAAGACTGGCAGCAGATGTTAGCTCAAGGCCAATCTTCCTCGTAAAAAATAAAAGACTGTGATATTTTCATTTCATGTGCAGCCCCCATAAGGTAGCAAACCAAAATGCCAAGTGTTCCTCAAACACAGTATCACATAAGTAAAATCCAAGCCCTAGAATCAAACTCCTTGTGTTCAAATTCTTGGCTCCACCACACTTGACACCTAAGCAAGTGACTTAACCTCTCTAAGCATCAATTTTCTCATCAGAAACTTACCTCTTGCTTAGTGTGGGGATTAGTAAGGTAACCGATGTAAAGTACTTAACACAGTGCCCAACACATTGTACATGTTCAACAAATTATTGTTATTGTGAAAAATGTCAAGTTTTATTGGACTGTATATATTTCATTAGTGAGATATTTTATCAAACCATAAATATTTTATCACTATGAATCAGATTATAATAATAGTTTTCACTAATTAAGGAATTATTCTGTGCTAAATACTATGCTAAATACTTTACATACATACATAAGCTAATTTATTCTATATAACACAGCTAAAAGGTGAGTAATGTTATCCCCATTCTACAGATAAAGTAACAAGAGCTAATATAGTGGTACATGTTATTCAAGACCACAGGCTCATGTCCTGGCTCCAGCACTTACTCATTATATGACATTAAGAAGATAACCTCTCTGCGACTCAGTTTCCTCATCTACAAAGTGAAGATAATAATAGTACCTAAGGTTGTTGTGAAGCATTAAATGTGTCAATATAAGTATGGTGACTTATATTCCAACACATATATGAAGGCCTTAGTACTTGGTAACTATTGTTATTTTTATGAAAATTATCAGCACTATTGTTGCTCAGAATCTGGTACATGTCAGAGCTGGGATCTTTAAAAGATTTTTTTACTGTTAGCTTTTTAGTACAAATTTATTTTTGGACAATCCCATTAGGCTCTGATAGCATTTCTTGGTGAATGACATGTTCCACTCGTGATTAATTAATAGGCCTGTGCCCTTGCATTAAATACAGCTGCATGAGTCTTCCACGAGCAAGACACCATTTCCTCAGAAATTCCCTGAAAGGACTTTTTCAACCAAACAAATTTTTTGAGGAAGGATTGGAATATATCAAACAGACACCCACGAATAAAGGAACTGCAGTGGATTTGTGGTAGACACAGGCTTACGATGTGGTGAGCTAGTCTTAGAAAGCGAGGCCTGACATAGAGTAGAAGCAGATAAATATTTGTTGAATGAAGGAATAAAATCCATGAGCACATTAGGTCAAAATTTTCTTTAGAGTCATTTTTAGGACAGGCCAAGGATTTTAGTTTTATTACACTGAGGTAATTTGAGCCATCAATCAGAAGCGTAACAGCAATGTTTCTTTCCGTTCAGGATTTACGAGACCGCCTGTGGGACATTTGTGATGCCCAGAAGGAAGAGGCCGAGCAGGAGCGTCTGGATATCATAAATGAGAGCTGGTTGCAGGATTCCATGGGAATAACGATGAACCATTTCTTCTCACTGATGCAGGTAAGAGCAGCCAGTCATGAATACAAACTCTTCCCTCCACAGCCATGTCCCTCATGTAACAACTCCTTTAGGACTGTGAGGAGTCTGTTCAGGGCTCATTTTACTTATAGCATTCTGCCCAGCCTGAGCTCCTGCTTGCCAAGGAAGTTAGCTGAAATAAATGATTTTGGCCTCCACCAAACGAGCATCAGAAATGGGAGCATCCCAAACAACTAACCACCAGGTTTGCTTCCAGGTGGCCCAGACCTGTGGAGGGGACAGCAGAGATGGTATCTATACTGATTGTTACCTCATCAGCCTCTCACAGCAGACATTCAAAGTGGCCAGCCAAAGCCTGGGAAAGCAAACCAGCCATAAAGCATGGGCTAGATCAGACTCAGCAGGCCTTTGATTCCAGAAAAAAGTTTATGTCTAGACTGGAAAAGCAGACTATTCATCAGAACAACTCGATTAACTTATATGTGCAGTCTGTTAAATAAAAAACTGCACTGGAAAGATAAGAAGATAGACATAGATTTTATTCTGAGACATTATCAACAATAGAGGAGAGAGCATAGACCAAGTCTAGATACGCAGCTGCCAAAAATAAGGGCTGGAGAGATTTTAAGAGCTGGAGTGGGGTAGAGAGTCATAGACCATCTATGTTTGCTGACTGGCCTTGCCTAAAGGAAAAGTAAACTTTCTCCTATCTTCACAACAGGAGGTAGTTCTACCACTTGGAGCAAGCCACCCTCCTAAGTTAGGCACCTCCCCTCCCAGAGGAGCTGGGACGCAGGCTTTCTGTTCCTTGATGCTTACCTTTCAAAGAGAGGTTTCCCAGGTCCTAGGGAAAGACAGTCCTGAGTTCTAAAACTGGCAAGAAGCTTTTAAAAAGATTTACATTTCAAAGGGGCAGATTCAAAGGATTTATAATGACAAGTTTGCTAAAGTAAATACTTCAGTCAGGAGCCTAGGTTAGGAAGAAGCCCATGTGAAATTTCGTCAAGCTGAGGAGAATATGAAGGCTGTCTTGGTCAAGCCATGTCTACATGAGTATTTTTTTCTAGAAGAATAGCAATGAGGATAGAGAATGGAAAAGGTACATTTCTAGCCTTCAACTGATTACCTACCTGAGAAGATGCTGCAGGAAATGAGAATATTTAGCTGACAGTCGCCAGAGCTAGTGCATAGTAGGTGTTCAATAAATGCTTGTTCAACTAAGGACCAATGAATGCTAGCACTTCCAGTATTCAAAGGGACAAGTCTCTGGTGCAGGGGCAGTTGGACCATAGGAGGCCTGAGAAGTAGGCAGAAACCTGAGAGGCAAGGGCAGCCTCACTGATTGCTGGCTCCAGGATCCAGGTGGGAGTTAACGAGACATGGGTTGTGCAAAGGATTAAAGTGAAACACTCAAGCAGCCTGAGCCAGTCTGGCTAGCATCCCTGGGACACCAGCTTGGGCAAGCAGAGGTTGAATGTTGGAAAAGATGTGTCAAAAGCTTATGGCAGATGTAACTGAAATCCTACAGCAAAGGCTAAGGGAATAGAGAATTTTTGTGACTCACTCTCATCAGTCAAGCAATACATACCCCTTTCGGGAGTGGTATGACTCTTACACCCACAATACCTAAGTTTAAGGTTCTCACCCTGAGAAACTGAATCCACATCTAAAAATAACTAGAAGAAAAGAAGATAAAGGAAAGGGCAGCTTAAGGGCTAATGTTTATTGAGTTCTTACTCCGTACGTGCCAGGCACTGTTCTAAGGACTTTCATGTAAGGTACATTAAACCTGCATGACAACCATATGCAGTGAATTCTATTATAATCCTTGTTTCACAGATGAGGAAACTGAGGCAAACATAGGTGAAATGAATGCCCAATGCTGCACAACCAATAAGTGGGAGTGCTGGGGTTTGGGACTCAGGAAGCCTAACTCCAGAGCCGTACTCTCAGCCACTGCTTTATCATCAGTGTTGTTTAAATAGTTGAAGGCCTGCCACATAGAACAGCAAAGAGCCCAATTCTGCACTGATCAATAGGAGCCTACAAAAACCAAAGATAGAAATTAGAGGAGAGTAGATTTCACTTCCATAAATGAAGAAAGAGCCTAATGATTAGAACTGTCCATCAAATAACAGACTTTTGAGGTAATTGAGCTGCTTGTCCAGGAGGCTCATAAGCAGAAGCTTGCTCATGTTTATGGAGGCCTAGGGGAAAGATTCCTCATCGAGGTCTTCAAGGGCCCATGGTAGTGGGTAACAGACAGCTAGATAAGTGTTTCTCAAAGTGGGTTCTGTGGAACACTAGTCCTACAGTGTTTCACAAAACAAGGATTCAGTGATCAAATGACTTTGGGAGGTGCTACATACTCTACATTTTCCTCTTCCTGGGAGAACGACAGGCGTATTGACGTATTAAGGCATCAAGATGCCCTGCAATAAAGAAATCCTTTTGGTATGTTAACCCAGCATTTCTAAAACTGACTCTGCAAAGTTTTTGTTTGTTTTACCTCCAGCAGGGTACTCATTAACAGCCTATAGGACAAGTTTTTTACACAATAAATTTTAGAAAATGCTATGCTAGATGATTTCTAAGATTCCTTTCCAAACTAAGATTCTGTGATAAGAAAAACAGTAAGAAAGCAGTATTCAGTAATTATCGTAAAGTGAGAGCAGTCTTGATCGAGTCTGCTTATATGAGAATCCTGGATATAGAATGGTATCTTATTCATAGTTAGCTATATAATGAATCAAATTATGCTCCTTAAATAAACATTTTATATAAAATAATCACTACAACAAGGCTAGCCTAAGGCACAGATACCAGCACTGTCTCAAATACCAATTGTATGAAATAGGCTCTACTAAACATAATCATTATTAAAGAGTTCAGTTTTCTAAGTTAAGGAGGAAATAATTTCCTGATTTCTAAATTTATTTATCAAGTAATATAATCCTACGGTTTAATGACTAAGAATTTTTGTATAATCTTGCAACACTTTTCTTCAATTCCCCAAAGTTATTTGTCAATATCCAAATTGTGTTTAGATTTGCATGCTGCTCATTGTAAATGTGACACTGTGCAGTGTAATTTCATGAGCATAATTTACAAAACTGATTTTTTTCTCTACTGTTTTACCAAATCTAAGCATGACAGGTCAATCACTTATTGTCAAACTGTGAGATTAGCCCTTATATGAATATTTTAAAACAATTTGGTTTTCCTGCAAGGAAAGAGAAAAATGTTTAGTTTTCCTAGTAATTTCAAAATGCTAGTTTGAAAAGTTACTTAAATATATGTTTTTGTTTAATATCCAATTTAAAACATGTTCTGTAATTTAAAACAATATATGAATGTTAATTTTATTTTGAAACATAGATTCAAATTAACCAAATAAAGTTCTTCCTGTTTCAGTCATTTAGCTAGAAAAGTTTAATAAAGCAGAGAACAGTGTTTCAGGAGCAATTTGGCTTATGCTTTTCTGTATCAAAACAACCTTGTTGAAATTATCCTTGTCTTTTGCTGTGGACTACAATGTAGAAATAGACATTTATTTGTTCTAAACTGTGATTATGACAGTACAAGACTATTTCTTGAAGTTTCATGAAATAAATGACAACATTAATTGCTTGATAAATATAGGGATCCTTTCATAAATATCCTTGGGTTAGGTTCAGCTGAGGGTTTTGAACGCTAAGTCAGTTTTGTTCTTTTTAGAAAAGATGCTTTCTGTAACTAACTAGATGTCATGGAATACATCTGTGTAAGAGCTTCAATCTTTAGGCCCTCAGGTACTGGTTTAAGCAGCCCCACTAACCAAAGCAAAGTCTGAAGGTTGTTTTTATGCTACCGAAGAGAAGCACAGATAGACCAACTGATCTGTCACTTCATGAGAGAACGGGTTGGAAAACTCATGGTCTATGTTGGTGTGTTCGGCACTGCACAGGGTCTCACTCTGCATGCATTTCATCGTCACTGCAAAGGGAAATGAGCTGGCTGGCAGGGAGTCACTTTTGAATAACTGATGCTCACCTTGCCACCAGCTCTACTGTGCTTCCCCACTTCCCACAAGGCACCTACTAGCAAAGCCAGCGGAAAGATTTCTCTGTGAGCACAGGGGAGTGATTTCCCTACTGTACGTATGGAGTAAGAACAGAAACTGTGAAAAAAGAACAATTCATTATCACTTTATCTTACTATCTGTCATTTCTCCACAACTAGGTTAAATCGTTCTAGAGGACCAAAACCTAGTCTTATTTTATATTTCAGTTTTTTGTATTTGTATGTGTAATATTTTTGGTATCTCCAAGGTCATCTAACATGTTACCTATGACAGAAGACACTCAAGAGTTTGTTAATGTATTGGTTGATTAAATACAGGACACAGAAGAATTCTTAATGTCAAAATAATGAATAACATACACCAGACATAATACATACTGTAATCTTTTGTAATATCAAGAAGAATAGAAATGCCATCTTGTTTAGTGGAATTATACTCAATAAGTACACAGACTGCAAAGTCACCATTTATCTTTAATTTTTATGAAATTTTAGATATACACTTGCAGCCAATTCTTTCTTAATTTCCAGAAAATGAATTTCAACCTAAATGTTTTTAAATAGTGCTTACAGAGCTTATATGGGAAATATGTACAGATCAGCTTGTTCTTTCTTGGATATTAACATGCATATTTACTATTAAAGGCAGAACTGAACCGTTTCCAAGATACAAAGAGACTCCTTCAAGATTATTACAGGGGAATGGAATGCAAAATCCCAACAGATGACAATAAGAAATTTACCAGAGTCCCATTGGTCCAACTGTGTACTAAAGACGTTTTGGAATGCCAACTCAGGTAAGGGAGGCTATTGTGTCGCACTGTAATTGGTCTGAACGTAAAACTTTATGATTTTAAATTGAATACCACTAATAAAAGCCACAGTCCTGTACCTGCAAATCCAAAATCCAAAAACTGAAAATTTTTTCTAACTTTAATTTAAGACTATTGATATGCACTGTTTATCCCAATTATGGTGAATATTTACTCATTTTTGCTGCAGAGGTATATTGTATTTTATTATAGAGTGCTTCCAACAGACTCTGCTAGGGATATTAGTGAATATATATTATATATAAATTTCAAGTTCTTTTTTTTTTTTTTTAACTTGCTTTTGTTTTTCTTTTTTTTTCCTGGGAAGGATTCACCCTGAGCTAACATCTGTTGCCAGTCTTCCTCTTTTTTTTCCCTCCCCAAAGTCCCAGTACATAGTTGCATATTCTAATTGTAAGTCCTTCTAGTTCTTCTATGTGAGCCACTGACACAGCATGGCTACTGACGGATGAGTGGTGTGGTTCTACATCCAGGAGCCGAACACGGGCACCGAAGTGGGACACGCCAAACTTTAACCACTAGGCCATCAGAGCTGGCTCTAAATTTTGAATGCTGAAGTGCTTTTGGCCCCAAGAGTTTATAGTAAGAAATTGTGAACCTCTATCACTTTTATGAAAGGTCCCAAGCAGTTCTGTGTGTGTGTGTGTGTGTGTGTGTGCGTGCGTGTGTGTGTGTGACATTATGTAAGTGAAAATTGGAGGGGTTAGGAGTCTTCTTTTACAGGTAAGGAAATTGAGAAACAGGAAAGACTCAGTCCTATGTGATTGTGACTTCGTGAGACTGAAAGACTTATTAATAATCTAACATCAGACTCCTGCCAGCAAGAAAATAAACTTGGTGGTAAAGGTGGAAGAAAAATTATATTTTCAGCCAAACATTCCTGTGCGATATAAAAGTTTGTAAATAGTTGCTTTTGTAGACCCAGTGGGTGGGGGCAGAGGAAGTGCCAGATCCCCAACCTTGAAAATTTACAAAAAGAATGAAAAATGTCTTTAAGAAATGGGGGAGTGGGAGTGGTGGTAATTCCTGTGATGTGATTCCCAACTATAAAACATCAAAACAGAGCAAAAAGTAAGCATTAAAATAATGAAAAATAAAACTCAAAATCCTTAAAACTTAAGTGAATTAAAAATAACTTAATAAAATAGAATTAAGAATTAAAGTAATATTTTCTCATGACCAGTAAGATATGAAGAGGGGAAAAAGAAATAAGTTAAGTTTAAAAAATAATATTCAGGCACTGAACATTAGATTTAAATCTCCAAGGAGGTGAGCTATGTATTGTAGATTGAAAGAAGTGTACGTACTTTACTTTACAAGCTTTCTCTGTCAGTGCAGGTCACAGGAGTTACGCAAACTGAATATGGGGTAGTGAATATGTTTTGAAGTCAGATAGATCTGGTTTCAATCCTGGGTCTGTTATTTGCTAACTATATGTAAATAAATTAAGACAATTTATTTGTTTGGGAAAGTCACTCCAACTCTCTTAAGCCTTGGTTTCTTTATCTGTAAAGTAGGGTTGTTGTGAAAGATTACAGAAATGAAATTCTCAGAGCATTTAGTACCACATCTGGGAATCAGAAAACTTGAGATCTAGTCCCAATAACTCTCAATAAGTGGTGACTGTTATTGTTATTGCATAATATGACAATAAACTATTCTTACTTACGAGCACTATTTAAATTGTGAGTATTGCATGTTCTCTCTTTGTGTGTTTTACCTTCTCTTATTCCAAAAAGGATTTGAAATGTCTTGAACACAATAGGGTTATACAGTGATCTGAAGCTGGTTTCTTCTTTCTCTAGACATCCTCGGTCTGGTCCCAATATATCCCTGTTAGGCCCATGTGTAAGCAAGAAAACACAAGAAAGAAAGTTTGTACTCTCTTCTTGATACAAATACAAGAGAAATATTTAACTCAGCAAGCTGCTGAGAGAGATCTTTGAAATCAGAAACAATAAAAAATTCCAAAGGCAATATGAACCATCAGAGCCATCAAAAGAGGCCAAGTTTCACTGTCTACAGTAGCAGTGCATTCTGTTCTTAGCACAAAATAGCAAGCCAGACGTAATGGGGGAGCTATTAATGTTGGTTAGAAGCAAGAAACAGGCAAAAGAACAGCCAGTTCTTATTTTCTGCAAAACAACTCTGCATCAATCTCAAATCACTGCTATGAATACCTACTGGAACTCTCAGTCAATCAATGTGTCAAGCAAGCAACCAACCAACCACAGAGTCTTAACATTTATAAGGGAAACAAGCAGTGTTGAGCACTTTCACATAGCTTATCTATTCTAGTCCTCCAAAAATGTAATAATAATAATATGGTAAGTAATAATTAGTTAATAACTAATAATTAGTAATTACTAATAATTAGTAATGATAATAGTCATATTATTATTATTTTCATTATTTCAGAAGGAACAGAGCCTCAGAAAGTCAAGTGACTTACCCCAGTTCATGTCTACGGATAGTGGCAGAGCTAGCTAAACCAGAGTTTTTTCCAGTAAATGAATTCTAAACCCAAATTCTTTTTCTAAATGATATGCCATCACTGCTGTCCTCCAAACCAAGGCATTGGGAAATGAGCATTGTACTGCGTCTAGAGATGATCACACAACCTTACTTTGATTTATTAGCCACGTGAATCTCATGTGTCTCAGGGACTGAGATTTAGCATTACTGGATTATTAAAACATAAATCGGGGCTGGCCCCGTGGCCGGGTGGTTAGGTTCGCGCGCTCCGCTGCAGGCAGCCCAGTGTTTCGTTGGTTCGTGTCCTGGGCGCGGACATGGCACTGCTCATCGGACCACGCTGGGGCAGCGTCCCACATGCCACAACTGGAGGGACCCACGGCGAGGAGTATACAACTATGTACCGGGGGGCTTTGGGGAGAAAAAGGAAAAATAAAATCTTAAAAAAAAAAAAAAAACAAAACATAAATTGTCCTGTGGGTAGACATATACTGGGTAGTAGATGCTGAACACGTTGCCTCTATAAGCACAGTACCCTGTCAGAATTCCAAGCACTGTAAGAATCAAAGAGCTAAGTTCAAGAAGCCTTGTCTGATACTCCAAAACAAGGCCAAGCTAATTGTTTGCTGGAGTTCACAATCTGAATCACGGCTCTGTTCCCCAGCAACCTGTGTCTGCCAAACCAAATGCTTATTTGAGCTATTGCTCCTGGCTTTCCTCCTCAAGTTTCAGCAAAGCAATCCCTTGAGGCTCCTTTCTCCCCTTTCCTTGTCCAAGCCGAAAGCCCCTCACTCTTTGTCTCACTGAGGTGGATCCCAATCACAAGAAACATTCCGCTCTGTGGATCTTTCCCTCCTTCTGTTAACTTTGAGATCCTGGGGTCCTTTTGGGATAGAATGTTCCCAGGGAAAGCTCTAAAATTTCTACATAGGGGCAGCAATATGGTTAAGAGAAGGAAGAGGTAGAGCTTAACTTTGTGTTCCCAAGCACTTTACAAAACAAAAAGAAAGCCCCTCATCATCCATGTTCAAGGGTGGGGAAGGTCACTTGAGCTCTTCCCCACCCATCACCAAAAAGTTATTGCCTCCATGAAATACCCCAGTAGACCTCACATCTGTCATATCCTGCGGTTTTGTTTTGTTGATGAAGAAGATTGTCACTGAGCTAACATTTGTGCCAGTCCTCCTCTGTTTTGTATGTGGGATGCCGCCACAGCTTGGCTTAATGAGCAATGTGTATGTCCATGCCTGGGATCCAACCTGTGAACCCATGGCCACTGGAGCAGAGCATGTGAACCTAACCACTATGCCACCAGGCTGGCCGCAGTCATTTTCTGCTTCTATACTGTCCACTTTAGGAAGCCAAATAATACTAGTCATCTTAAACAAGTGATGCCCAGTTGCATTTGGTTTGCTTTCTCATGACTGAATTATTCCTCGTCCCATTTTCCTTTATGCCCTGGATATATTTCAAAATTGCTTTTCTTCATAATTGCTATAGGTTAATCCACCTCTTCATAATTACTGAGAATTAAACCTGAAAATTGTGTTCTGTTATTGTTTGTTTCTAGTTCCCTCTTGTTAATAAGACTTCCTAAACCATAAGAATTTGAATACAGTCTTTTCTCCATTTAAAGAGTTTTTCCAGAACAGGTTTGAAAATTGAGAATAAAGCAAGACAACAAAATTCAGAAAGTAACATGGTCATGGAAATAGAATTCTGTTACATAAAATCTGTTAAATGAAATCTTTATATTCCTTTTGTTTGTTTGTTTTCCAAAGAATTCCTCTGGTTCCTCGAATATCCATTTCTCTGGATTTGGCTATGTCCAAATCAAAATCCAGAGCTCTGCTGAAGGACAAGATTGATTACACGCTAGAAAATGTGGAGTTAAACTTTGAGGCGGATGAGAAGTTGGTAATAGACACCTGGCAGCAGGCTTCTTCAGCGATATCTCACATGGTAAGCAGCACTTGTTATTACATTTCCTTTCAGGAATATCCGTTCAGTAAGTACCAACGTTGCTAATATGCTATGAATAGAAAATTTACACAAGGTTTGCAAGCATGGTGTAAATTTATACTTCCAAGGAGTCTTTTTTTCTGAAAGAAATAGGAAGTGAAACAAGTCAATCAGCAAATATATGAGATCAAAGAAGGAGTGAACCAACATTAGATTATTTTCTATGCTGGACCAGTGTTCCAAGTGCAGGGGCCCTAAAGGGCCAGCAGGAAATGTCAATGAGGCAGGTCAAGTATAAGGCAATAGGGAAGGGTGGGACTGTGGCCAAGTGGAAATCACACCCCTGTCTAAAGAGCTGTGTGCTACTCTGCCCTAGCCAAATTTGCCATTTGAGAATGAGACTCTGCATGGCCAGATTTTCCAATTTTATAAGAATAGCCAGAAATTCAAGTTTTAGTGTGAAATCTACTGATTTTTAACAGGTTAAAAGTGAAAACAAATTTTTAAAAATTGACAGAGTCCAGCAAAACATACATCTGCCCCACAGGCCTCTAGTTTATAGCCTCTGCTAGGCATTTTACGTAAGTCACCTATGGGATAAGTATTATTATCCTCTTTACAGTGGAAAACTAAAATCCAGAGAGGTTAACAAACCTGCCCAAGGTCACTTGGCAGGTAAGTGTCAGAGATGAGATTTGAACCAAAGTCTATATGACTCCCAAGTTCGTGTCCTTTCCACCTTCCCTGAGAGGTAAAGTGATGATTCTCCTTGCCTTCAAAGAGCTGTACCAAATCAAGAGGGAAAGGGACAGCATGCAGATGACTTTAAGCAGAGGCTTCACCCCATACAGAAGGTGCTTAACTCGATGACCACTGTTCCCTCATCCTCCAGGTCCTGGGTCCACCAGTGCGGTTTCTGTTTTTGTTCTGTGCCAAGCCTTCTTTGAGTTTCCCCAAAATATCTCACTTGACCAGAAAGCAGTGTTCACTTTCCAGAAGGTTTTTTGGAAGAAGTAGGAGAGGAGCTTGCATCACAGTCTCACAGCAAGCAACCAACACTTTTGATTGGGCGTCTTCCAAGTCCCTTCCTGGCCACTCTGCATCCAGGGTCCTTTTCTCTGGCCTTATCCCACTGCAGCCTCAGTGCCTCCTGTCTGCTCCCCATATCTTCCTTTTTTTCTCCTTCTTTCTTTCTTATCTCTCTCTCAACAGCGACCGTAAGCTCCTCTGATTGTCTTGCTTCATTTATAAAAAGATTTTAGTGTGGATTTTGACACACATAGGAAAAGTGCATAATATATAATTGCACGGCTTAATGCACCCACCTAAAGTAAATAGTCATGGAACCACCACACAGGGGAGCAATGGAAAAGGTCTGCACATGCCAAGTCCTTCTTGTGTCCCTTCCCAGCCCTAATACCCTTCATCCCCAAGCAAGGGAACCTCTATCTTGCCTTTTTAGTAATCATGTCCTTGATCTTCTTAAGAGTTTTATTACCCAAGTATGTATCTCTAAATAGTATAGTTTAGCTTTGCTTGCTTTTGAGCTTCAATGGACTCATACCTTTTGTCTCTTTGCGTCTTCTTTTCCTCAATATTATTTGTGGGATTCATCCCATGCTGAGTGGAGCTGTATCCTGTTCATTTTTGTTGCTTCATAGTGCTGCATTATATGAATAGATTATAGTTTATTTAACCTTCCTGCAACTGATACACATTTGGGCTTCCTGTTTTGTGCTATTATGGATACTGCTGCTATGAAGATTCTTGTACATATCCATTGGTACACATATGCACACATGACTGTTGGGTATATACCTAGGAGTATGTAGACAATACTATACATAATACTTCAGCTTTCATAGGTGATACTAAATCCTTTCCCCATGTTACTGCAGTATCATCTGTGTCATAAATTATTCATACATGTGATATGTATGACTACATATCATAAATTAGGTCTGTTGCATTGCTTTGTTTGTCTATCCTTGTAGCAAAACTACATAATATCATACCATTTATTTGTTATCTGGATGAACAAATCTTCCCACCTTGTCATCTGCCAAGACCATTTTGACGCTTCTTGGCTCTTTGACTTTCCATATAAATTTTCAAATCAGCTTGTCCAGATTCACAAAAATGTTAGCTGTAGATTTCTTTTCAGCAGTATTTATCAGGTTATGGAAATTCACGTCTATCTCTAGCTTATTATGAGGATTTTTTCATGAATTGTATCATCAAATGGTTCTTCTGTATCTATAGAGATTATCAAATGATTTTTTTCTCCATTTTCCGTTAAAGTGGGATATTATATTGGTCAATTTTTAATATTAAACTTACATTGCACCCCTAGAACAGTCCAACATTATAATGAGGCAGCATCCTTACATGTTGCTGGATTTATTTTGCTCATAATTTGTTTAGGATTTTTGAGTCTTTGTTTATGAATGAGAAAATTCTACAATTTTTCTCTCGTATACTGTCCTTGTCTACTTTTAGTAGTAATACTAAAATACTAGGTAATACTAGCCTCATAAGTCGGGTCAGATATGTTTCATCTCTTTCTATTATTTGCAAGATTTTGAAGAAGTCGTAAGTTTTCTTCTTGAAATGTTTGGCAGCATTCACTAAGAAGCCATCTAGGCCTATAGTTTTGTGGAAAGTTTATAGGAAGAGTTTTTGTTGCCCCCTCCCTCCGAGGATTCATTTTCTTTAAGAGGTATAGGATACTTTCTATCTTCTTTTTCTTATTGGAAGAAACTTGGGTTGGTTTTGGTAAATTTTATTTTGCCAGGAATTTTTCCATTTCTAAATTTTCAAATTTATTGGCATGAAATTGTTTAAAATATCCTCTTGTGTTTGTGTTGATACTTGCAGCATCTGTCTGATGGCCCTTTGCCAGTGCTGATGCTGGTTTCCGGTGTTTTTCCTGTCCCTTGATTAGCTGAGCCTGAAGTAGATCGATTACATCAGTCTTCTGAAAGAACTAACTTTTAACTTCATTGATTTACTTTACTGTGTTTTTTTCTTAATTTTATTTTTCCTTCATTGTTTTCTTTGGGCTTATTTTGCCATTCTTTTCTAGAACTTTGAGGTGGATGATAGTTTATGAATTATTGGTCTCTCTTTTTTTCCTAACATATGCACTTGTTACCATAAAGCTCCCTCTGTGGACTTGCTCTAACTGGATCTCAAGTTTTGATATAATGCTATTTTCATTGTCATCCAGTTCAAAGGGTTTTAGAAGTATATTTTTAATTTTCTAAATAGTATGTTAACTTCTGGCTTAATTACATTTTAATCAGAGATCACACTCTCATTGAAATGTTCTGAAATTTGCTTTGTGGTAAGTTTTAAGAATGTTCTGTATATCCTCGAAGTATATATAGTCCATTGTTTTATATGTATATATAAAATTGTTTTATGTATACATATTTATATCTTTACTATGTTATTTAGTATATATTTATATTTAAAATACATATATATACTATCATTGTTTAAATCTTTACCCTCATTAAATTTGTTTTCTCCTTCTTTGAATTGTCAAGAAAGGTATGATAAAATTGCCCACTTTGAGACTGGATGTATTCATTTCTCTCTACACTTTCATCAGTTTTTCCTTTATGTATATTTGAGGACATGAAATTGGGTCTAAACAAATTTTAAATTGTCAAATATTTCTTGTGAATTGAACTTTTTCTTATTATGAGGTAATCTTTATGTATAATGCTTTTTTTTGGAAATTATACTTTTAGATATTTTTCACATGTTAAATATTCTTTCATCCTTTCTGTAGCTTTTCTTTCTTGCTTTTTTCCCCATCTGTAAGTTTGAAAGTAATGCGTTCTATTACTAATCTCTTAGTGGTTACCCTAGGAATTACATCACGAATTATTAACGCATCAAGGTCTAAATATTATTTACTCAATAAATTCATCTGTTATTCCTAGAGCAACCACTAAGTGAATTAGTGTATGTTACTTCCAAACTAATATAGAGAAAAACTGAAATAATTTAAAATATTCAATCCAAAATAAGAAAAGAAAGGAGGGCAGAAAAAGATTCAGCACAAGCAATACAAATAGAAAGCATATAGTAAGATGATAGATTTATACCTCAAATATATCTACAACTACTTTAAATTAAAAAGGGAAAAATGATCCAGATAAAGGAAAAGGATTAATAGATTTTTTTTTTTTTTTAAAGAAGCATATGATGCTTCTAAGAATACAGAAATGATCTTGCTTTCTTGACCTAGGAGGAGAATGGGGTAGCGTGATGACCTCCAGTAGCCACCATAGAATCCTAAACCCTTGACCTAGAGGCTCAGAGCTCCATATCTTTGCTGGTACCAACTCATCAAACCCTCTTGTGAGCTGACTAGATATTGCTTCTTACATATTCCATAGGCATTAAAAATTCCGACGCCTTAGCTGACGCCATTTTTTCTGTCCTAAAATATGCTCCTCCTTCCTTCTATTTGCTTAAATCCTATTGTTTCTTTAATTCTTCAGAACTTGTTCCTGCCTTGATTCCTGATCACTTGGTTACCTGTTTCCTGAAATCCTAGCCTTCTCTGATCATATGTTCTTTCCGTCCTTGTAGCAGATTTGTTTCTCCCACTCATTTGGCTCTTAAGATCTGGGTTATTGTTTGTAATTTTTGTCTTGTTAGTTGTTTTCCTGAATACTTAACTAGATTCTAAAATTTTTATGTACCTTTACCTAGCATAATGCCACTAACATAATACTAGGTCTTGAGATGCTGCTACTGCTATACTGATGATGATGATGTCAATATTACTGATGAAGGCAATGATGATGATGATTACCACAAAGACCACAACTACCAAGCACCAGAGAGTGGAAAACCAGATCTAGGAGTTCTAGAAAAGAATATGAATTATTATTCTTATTGTTAATTGAGCTATGTAAACATAATTTACAAGTCTTATGAATCCCATTAAAATTACCTGGGGAAAAGGACATTTTAAAATATTACATTATTAGAAAGAGTATCCTACAGCACAAAGAGAATTAGCTATCCCTCTTGATTAAGCTGTGTGATTTAAGGAAATTCACTTAAACTCTCTCAAGTCTTCAATTCCAGATCTGTAACATAAGAGACATTCTACCTATCTTTCCTTTCTTAAATGGTTGAAAAGATCCAATGAAATAAGATATATGAAAGTGTTTTAGAAATTGTAAATATAATAGATCATTATGGTAAGAAAACTACTCAAACTTGTACTGTTTTCCTCATGGACTTTTAAAAACCACATAGACAGCATAGGAGGAAGGATTGTTTAGTAATTAATATTACTAATAATTGTATTTGAATCCTGCTTTTATGTTTCTTACAGACTTTTATGACCTTGATGTCACATGACCTTGAGGGAACTTTGAGTTCCAAATGAAAAAGGCCTGATTTAGTAAATTGTTGTGGGGAAAACAGTACCTGCTGAGATAAGTGCAATTAAAATGAGGGCACTTTAACACAGGCTTTATTCCACACAGAAGTTTTAACAAGAGCAACCATTTAGTGTGCTATGTTAATTTTTTAGCAAAACTTTCTCCTAATTAGCAGGTATGCAGTGATTTCAAAGAAACAAGTCGTGTGTAACGCCCACAATGTCAAGGCATTATTTCTAGAGTTTCTTCAGCCTTATAAGCTAGACTGCTGGATGTATTGTAAATTATGTTAATTTTTGGAAAAGACCCAGAGGTCTTTGAGGGAAGTGAACCAGAAAAATGGAGATGATGATAATTATCATCGTCATCATCATCATCCTCATCACAAGGTTGTTTACAAAGGAGAAAAATCCAATTTTAAAGGAAATTGCTAACTTACCATGCTTTGCAAGAACAGATTCAAAAATGAATTGCTTGCAATTTAGGGGAGAATGTTAACAAGTCTGCTTTCAGCTTTACCAAGAATTTGAAAGTACAGTATATATCATGAAATTCATGTTTATCTAAAGAGCATCTGATTAAAAAAAAAAAGCAACTGGCTTGCTTTCTCAAACTTTTCTGTATCTCTACAAGGCTCTGCTGGTATTGAAGAAGCTGTGGGTGTATTCTGTGGAATATGATTATTTTAAAAGAAACTCCATCCATTAATAGGCCTTTCCTGAGCCTCTCCTATGAGCCTAGCACACATGCTAAAAGCTATGGAGAATACCAAGAAGGAGGACTGGCTCAGCTCTCAGGAGCATGAAACCCATTTGGAGGGTGGGACAAGACTTAGCACTCATAGAACAGTTGGGGACAGTTTCATGCTGAGCCCTGGATTATGAAGCTTATCAGGAATTTGGAGAGGGCAGGAATTGGCTGGTCTATCTCTCCCACAAGACTAAGCTTCTTTGAGGGTAGCGACTATGCCTTATTCATCTTTCTGTTTACCTCCATCAAACTTTTTCCTCCTCCTGGCCCCTCACTCCATTTTCCCCAAAAATAACATCAGGCTTGGACACAGTAAGCACTTCAATAAATAAACCCCCATGGACACCCATTTCCTCACCCATTTCCTCCAGTTGCACTATTGAGATTTTAAAGTTTTCAACCACATGTTGCTACTGCGTCCACGGTGCGTGAAGGTTTTATTTCTTCCTTTTGGGAGTCTTTTCTCAGCTCTCATTTCTCAGGGTTATAGTCATAAATGCCCTTCACCTCTCCAGGAGCAGTTGGACTTATCTCAGAAGGTCCAATCTTGCTAACTGCAGGCACCACCCAGCTGCACAAACCCTCAGATAAGGTTTCTCTGCTGCCTGAAGCACAGAGCCAGCCTCAGAGGAGAGATGGAGGGATCCCTGCGGCGCCCCACCCCTCCCCATTCATCAGCTGTTATGCAGTGGCCTCACAACTGATCTCTCAAAGCAGGGCACTTGTGGGACTGAAAGGAGGGTGTTGCTGAGATGCAGAGAAGCTGAGAGTCCCCTGAGTGGAGGAGGCTAAGAACCAAAGATGAGGTTAGGCTGTGGGACAGGTCACCCTCATGAATACGGCACCTTCCTGGGATGGTGTCTAGGGTTAGAGTAGAATGGAAGCCCAGGACGCAAGTCTCCATGAGCCCAATTAATATAGGGCATGCATTCCTAAAACTTGGTTGGGGGCATGAAAAATTCATGCCCATTTTATGTATAAAGCACAGACATACATAAAATACATAGACAGACACATTTGTACAGTGTTAAAATTTCATGGAGGGGATGCCATTAGGAGAAACTGTTTTAAAAACTCCATGGGGGAAAATAAAAGATGGAGAAACACTGATATAGGGGAATGCCCCAATTCAGGGGCCAACAGATAGCAGGAACTTGGAAGAATAGTGAGTATTAAGTCCACAGAGTCTGAGATCTCAAAGAAAGGAATTTTTGCATAACCATGGAGCTGTCACAGTCTGGAGGTGACAATGAAGAAATTCAAGGATGCCCTGCAGGCAGGGCTTGAGAAAGAGAACAGCCTCCACACAGACGGCTGTGGGGAAGCAGCATCTGGGGACAGGGCCAGCTTTCCATTTAAGTAAAACAGCCAAGTGCCTGTTCTGTAAAGACTGAGCACATGGCGTGGTTGTTTGCAGTGGAATGAGGTTTCAGTGGAATTAAATGATGACTAAAGCCAAATGATTATCATATTTCATAAATGTATTAACTGAAATATTGCTCTCATACAACTAGGTCACTGCTGAAATTCATCAGAGGCTCATGGAAGAAGAAAAAGAAAACCAGTCAGCAGATGCAAAAGACAAATCTCCTCAGATGAGTGCAAATAAAAAAGTGAAAAATGAGCCCCCCAAGAAAAAAAAGGAAGACAAAAAAGCAAAAGGTATTCATGGTTTTAGCATCCAGAGCCCTGTTAGGTTTCTGGGTTCGGTTAGGTTTAACTTAGAGAGCCAGGCTTCTGTGAGCTGGAGTGTTAGTTGGCAAATTGTATTGCATGCCAATCCCGCCTAACCTGTTTATCCAAGTTGCCAACTGTATCCAGGATAAAATGAATCTCAAAGACACTTTTGAACATGTTAAAAAAACTCCAAGATCACACTAAGTAACCTGAAAAGTGTGTGCCAAGGAGCTGACACTTGCTGCAGTAACCTGGAGAAGGTTAAAAGCTAAGTACGTGCATGTAAGTTTCAGGTTTAATTCAAGCAAGTCCGTCTCTCCTGGAGGCCTCTTGCCTAAATCTCTGCCTCAGAGGCATGAGAGAAAGTAGAGAAGAAAGAAAGCTCAGTTTGGGAGAGACCTCCAGTTAACGTTAGAAATGAGCTCTGGCACACATGTTACTCTCTCTCTGAATGTTTTCCCTTGTACATTTTTGAAGTGACTTGAGGCAAGAGAGGAAGAGATGAAAGCACGTCAGCCAAAGTCACTCCACTAGTCAATTACTCATAATGTTTGTTAGACACCTGCTCTGTGAAAGACACCATGATGGATGCTGAGAACGCAATTGTGAATTCAAAACAAACCAACCCGTGGTCCCTGCCCTGACGGAACTGTGGTCTAGCAGCAGAGACAGTCACATGACCAATCCTTGTTCTTTGGTAGGGGAAGTTCAAGTCCCTTGAGAGCAGGGTCACCTCACTCCATCTGATAGGGAAACGTTTCCCAGATGGAGTACATTTAAGCAGCCATGAGTAGGCGTTAAGACAAAGTGCTGAGGATGGGGGTGAGGGGTAGGGTTGCAACTGAAGCAAAGGGAAGAGAAGCGGCCCAATAAAAAACGTATCACCTTACTCCATCTCAGATGGTAAAAATAAAAGAAATAAGCAGCATTTGAAGGCAATGCTTCAATTTACTTTAATGGAATAATTGGTTGAGTCCCGTCCCTTCATTTTACAGATGATAAAACAGAAATGCAGAGAGATTTAGCTCTGTTGCATCTGTAACTTATACATACATCTACTATTGTAATTACATCTTATTACAGTTTCTTTGTTCACGTTTATGTCTTCACAAGACATAACCCCTTGAGGTCAGAACTTCAAGAAAGATTTATTGAAGTACATAGAATCTTGCAAACTGGGCTGCAAGTGGAATCACACAGCCATTTCTAATGGGTAAATTCACAGACAAATACTGACATATTCTTCTTTTCTAATTCTCTTATGTAATCACTGAAGTACTTGTAGTTAAGTACTAGTTAAAAGATGATCAAGTTGCTTATAGATTCTCTACCGTCAGCTATATGTCAACCATATCTTGTTGAAGTTATTCTCTGGTCTTTTCTTGATGAGAACCTGGGAAACACTTGGCTAATACAAATAGCCCTGTGGAGTGGTCCTTCTGCAGGTGGCTAATTGCACGCATGGTATGTTGGGGTTTGCTAATTTCTGTCAGCAGACTCTGAATTTCACCCTCTTTGGAGTCTGTAAACATGCCTGCCCTTGCTGCACATCTCATTTTCCCTGTTGCATCACAAGGCAGGTATTTTTTTTAGGAATATTAGCCTTGAGCTAACATCTGTGGCAATCCTTCTCTATTTTACATGTGGGACACCTCCCGCAGCATTGCTTGATAAGTGGAGCGTAGGTCTGTGCCCAGGATCTGAACTGGCAAACCTGGGGCCCCTGAAGTGGAGCACACGAACCCAACTGTTATGCCACCGGGCCGGCCGCACGAAGAGGGTATTTTTATATGCATCTAGCCTAGATGCCACGTGAAGAATTCTCAAGGAAAGTCTGTCAATATTTCACCACTGTCAGGACCAGGGTTTCTCTTTTCCCAGGCAGTAGAGGCTTATAGCTCCACACATTTCACTTTGTACTCATTTTGTCCAACTTCCATGTGCATACACTTGTATGTTGGCAGTTTTCTCAGCATGTTATATTGCGCTTTCAGGAAAATCACCACCTACAGCAGAAGCCTCTCCTGTAATACTAACAGTAGAGGAGATGGCTGAAATGGAAAAGAGAAACAAACTGAGGCTCAAAATAAAAGAAGAACATCTTGCTGCTCTTCAATTTGAAGGTAACAGTTGGAAAGAACTAAGATGGTACTTTTCAGTGGAAAATGGACCAGTAGGCAAACAGCCCAGGGGCTGCTCAAACTGTGTCTATGAGAACACAAAGCTGACCAACTGAAACCTACATTCAGTGGGTTGTGTTCATGCGACCGTATGAAGACTAGATTTGACAGCTGCCTGCTGGGATCTCAATAAAAGACAAGGAGAATTTGGAAAGGGTTAGGAGAGTACAGACAGTAATTAAAATCTCAACAAATAGAAACAAACAGAATATTTTAGAGTTGGTGTGATTTTACAGGTTGAAAGAAGGCTTGGGGCTACCTACGTACGTGGTTTTATGTTACAACAAGAATAATTTAGGCCTCTCACGAGGAAAATAAACCCTGACTAAAGGCTAAAAGTCCCTGCAAGTGAGTTCTTGGGAGCACAGGCCATAGAAGAGCCAGGCATGGATCAATTGTGTTTACGGGCCTCCTTCTCTATAGACAGCAATGACTCTACAAGATATATTCTTCTTCGGGCTCTTCCAGTTATCTTATAATGTAGATCAAAATGGAATTTAAAAAGATAGGAAAATGAGCAAAAGTATCCTAACTGGTAAGAAACCATGGTCAATATACTAGGTGACAAAACCATAAAAATGCAGCATTGGCTAAGCTGGGACACATTAACTACTCAATGACCATTAGCTTTTAAGAATGCTTTCCACCCCTTGCTTCTCTCCTCTTCTCCTCTCCCTTCATCCTACTACCACCTGCTTCCATAATCCCAAGAGTAAAATCTAAAGGAAGTTGAACACAGGAAGATCTGTGGTATCAGGAAAGTTGGGACACATGCTTCCCCACCAGTGCCTGTCCCCACATCTGCTTTTGATAGTTTCCAGTAGACTTCATCTTTCAGTTCATTCAATACAGGATCCCTAGCACGGCTAATTTCCATCCTTCATACAATAAACATTTACTGAGTTTCCACTATGTGCCAGGTCCTGTAGTAGTCGTGGGAAACACACATCTACACAAACACAAAACAAACAAACACATGTAAAACTCAATCTAGAGGAAGAGAAATGCAAACAATCACCTATCATATGTTGTGATATTGGAGATGGGCATACAGGACACAGGCGGCATGGGAGAGTCATGAAAGACGTCCTAGTGGATGAACTAACACTTGAGCTAAAGTGGAAGAACGTGGAGGAATTTGCCTAGGGAACAAATCAGGGTGAGGAGGGAAGAGGATAACTAGGTGACCTGTGGTGAGTGGCTTGGGAATCTGAGGCATATTCTGGGCAGGAGTGACTAGGGAGATGGGGAGGCTACATCATGGAGGGTCATATAGGCTCTGCCAAGAAAGTTACATTTTCTCTTATGGCAACTGGGAGCCAGTGAAGAACTCTGTGATCGCATGTGCAGGTGAGACAGATTACTCTGGGGAGTGTGGAGGCAGATTTGGATTTAATGTGGGCAAAGGAACTTAGAGAAAATAGGATTGAGGTGATTTCAGTAGTTTAGGTGACAGATAATTAATGCCCAAACTAGGCCAGTAGCAATGGAAAAAGCAAAGAAGAAAGAGTGCAGAGAGTTTAGAGGTCAAATCCACAGACCTTACTGTGTGCCAGGTACAGCAATAGGCCCGGGACACACAGGCTTCACGCTACTTCTCCCAGTGCTGACGGAATAATGGCATTGCCATCCCAAGGTTCTCAAGCAGGGAGATCATCAAGAGACTTTGTACTTCCTCCTTTTGGAAATTCAGAAATTGTCTATTTGTGTTTTCCCATTCCAATTTACCAAAGAGCATATTGCTATGAAGTGCAATAAATGTAAACCTCAGTTATGGTTTTGGTTTAAATAAACTATCAAACGATTCTACCACACATTACCTTTTTTCCTTCTCAATGAGATAGATAAGGTATTAGTTATCCATATTGCTTATTAGATGTGTACCTAAATCTTCACAAATCGAAGCATGATTGGTTTAAAATTGAATTCGATTCATCAGAAAGTGTATGTACATATAATACATTAAAAAATCCTTATTTCTCTTTTTAAATAGAGATAGCCACACAGTTCCGACTTGAACTGATAAAGACAAAAGCATTGGCTTTCCTTGAGGAGTTAGTATTGAAGGCGGTTGACGTGTACAAACTCATGGAAAAGTGGCTTGGCGAGAGGTACTTGAAGGAAATGGCCAGGTAAAGTATTGCATAAATTTTTAAAAATATACTTTGTTAATTCCTGAAGACCCAAATTGACAGAGATTTTTAAGGTGTTTGCAAATGTAAATTACACTTACAAATAGAAATTTTGACCTTTTAGGAAATCATGTATACATTTGTATTGACTCTTTCTTTTCAAACAGTAAATCATGTATCAAAGTGTTCTATTACAGTATCCAGTTTTGCCCATCATTTATGAGTTTGGTTTTCATACTACTCAATGAGGACCTTAGTTTGTAAGGTAAGATTATAGGTAATTTTTAAATATTTTTTAGAAGTAAGGTAATGTTTCATATCTTTCTAATGCCAGACTTATTATTAGTTAAGGCCAATTAAGGGAAGACGAAGAGGTCATTCCCTAGAATGTTTTACCAGTTAGGCTGATTCCCTTGTAAGGGCAATACCAAGTTCTTTTCTGTTGGATTCCACAGACTTTCCAGCCTCTCATTGCTAGTGAGGGGCAGCGAATCTCATCCTCTTAATTTTCCCCTAAAAGACAAGAAGAGGCAGCCCGACAGGGTGGAAGTGGCTCTCAACTGAGTCAGAAGATGGGGAGTCCCTCATTGTCCACAAATCAGCAGCAGGCCTAATCCCTTTGGGCCCCATGGGCTTCATCTATAAAATGAAACACGCCAAGCAGTCTATTTCAGAGGATTCTGTGATACACTACAGTTTACAATAAACGTTTACTGAAAATTTAGAAGTTTCTACCTACGTAGAATACAAAGGGCAAGTATTCTCAGAAGCAACCACTGCCATCTAAAAGACAACTGTTTCTCTAATCCTTGTCCCATAAGGAAAGTTCTGTTGTAAACTCTTCACCCTAGTTGTTTATATCTGTTGCTCTATAATAAAACACACACACACACCCTCAGCCTGGTAACTTTAGTGCAGTAGTGCTTAAAATAGTTTTACTACTGGATAGCCAAGTCAGTTACTCTTCAGCATCATAGAGGAGTGATGTTCAATTCTGCTCTCTGCCTGTCACAAGAATGAAAACATATCTTCTTCATTCTTAGGATATGCAGCTCTCATCCACGTGGCCATCAAGTGTGAATGCTTCCTTTCTATCAGATGTACCTGTGTTTCTCAGAGTTATGTTGTGTTTATGTGTATCGCTGACCTCTGAATCTAGCCACAAGAAGTTAAAACCTAGGACTGTTCAGCTTTACTTTCTGTTTTGGTTATTGCAAAAATTCCCAATGATTAAAAAAAAAAAATAGAGCTATCAGATCCCTTTGAACTTCCAATCCTGCTTTTCATTTTCCTGGCATTTTTTCCCCTCCCATTCTTGAGAAAGTTACTCTTGGTAACCTTCCACTAGATGGCGCACTTATTTTGATATCTTGGGGTCTCACTCTACAAAAGGAGCCCACTGGAATTGTACTCAGTAGCTATCCAATGTTCTTCTCCTCTGCCTGGCAACAGACACACACCATCAAGCATAAGCTAATTAAATAATACATACTATATGGACACTCACGAATATAGCATGCTAGAGTTGAATTTAAGGGTGTATTTTTAAAGAGAGCAACAAATACTATTTAAAAAAATCTTCAGTATATGACTATTTTGGTGTTCTTGAGTTGTCTAAGAGCAGATTAAATATGCATTTTTCTGCCATGTTCAATCTTTATTGCAAGATATAGACAAGATCCTCTCTATAATACATGATATTGTATTTATTCATGTACAAAACTTCCTTGGCCTTGAAAATAGCTTTTAATTAGGGCCATAACTATAATCCCTAGTACAGCTTAAACCCATGCCCTATGTGATTGAACATTAATAACCATCAAGTATAGAGTTGTGTGTTATTGGCTCCATTGCAAAGATAAGGAAACTCAGAGAGCTTAAGTAACTTACCCAAGGACCCATGACTAGAGTCTCTGGAATGAGAGAGAGCGCAGCTTCTAGGGTCCTTTCCAGTGCATCACAGAGCCTCCTAACTACTGCTGCTTATACTCCATGACTTAGCTAAGCATGGTCATTCTTCCTGAAGATAGCAAAGCAGTCAACAGATTATATCATCAGAGGCCATTCTGTCAGTTCTATCTTAGGTCACATCAGACTCCTTGATATATAGTTAGAGAAACACCACTCTTCTAGAAATCCATTAACAAATTTGATTCACTTTACAGTTTATCCTAATTTCAAATAAATGTGTTATTCTAATGGTTATATTTTTACAAGTTTTTCTGCCATATAACCTTATTCTGGTTCATTCTTGGCATGAAATGTATCTCTTGACATAATCTTGCATACATGGTAAAATATATTCTAATACTAATAAAATCATGTTTAATGAAATCTCTTTTGTTCAGCTTGGTATAAAATGTGTGACTATTAGTCTGAATGAGCATATATTTTGTTTCTAATTTATATTTATTTGTTTATACTCTGCCTGTTTACCAAATGGATTTGAGGGGAAATTAGAATTTTTAAACATGCAGATTGAATTGTCTAACTTAGCTATATAATGTGTTAACTTTGTGTGTATTTCTAATAAGCAAAACTATTAATCTAATAGTATCTTTAATGGGGATAACCCTATTCATTTTTCCACTTTCAGTGTGGAAAAATTAACTGAGGTAGCTCGCTATCACATTGAAACATCTACAAAAATTCAGAATGAACTGTATTTAAACCAAGAAGACTTCTTCATTAATGGCGACGTAAAAGTCTTTCCAGATCCCCCTCCTCCAATACGTCCTCCGCCTGTAGAAAAGGAAGAAAACGGCACCCTGACCATCGAACAGCTTGACAATCTTCGAGAGCAGTTCTTAGAAATAGCACCTAAAGGTAGGAAAATAATTATCATGAAAAGAGCACAAAAAAGATTGAGATTAACCAGGTTGGCAATCAGTTCCCCATGACTAAAACCAGCCCTCTGGGATCGCATGGCGTTAAAACGAGCCCTTGGTTTCTTCTAGTTTATCTCCTATGTGCTTCGTCCAACACAGATCTGAATTAAACAAAGAAGAGAAAAACAGTGACTAGTACTTTGGCAGTGTGGTGATCCTCAGTCCTGGGCGTTCTCTCCTGCCCTCCCCTGCCCCGCGCCAGCAAGTTAGTAAATTTCAGCATCACTCCATCTGGCAATTGAGAGACAGCCTTCGCGCATGCTTCTGGTTTACGTTTTATGTTGGGATTATGAGTTTGTGTTTCTGTCTCCCCCACTACTAGTCTGTGAAGGGAGGGCAGGCAGTAGAGAATTTTCCCTCAATGTTTCACAGACCAAGAGCAGAACCAAAAAAGCTGTTAACAAATATTTGCTTACTTGATTAATGGATCTGTTCACATGTATATGTACATGTTATTTTCTGCACATAAATTCTTTATTTCTTTCACGTTTTATCATTATGGCTCTGCAGCATTTGCACAGGCTTTTTTTTTTAAAAAAAATTCAGGCTTTTTCTACTTCTAGATAATCTTCAATGAATTCCATCAATTGGCAGAACAAGTAATTCAAGCAGGTCTTGTAGGTTTATCATCTCCATTTTGTAGTCAGGATACTGAGTCACACAGCAGTTAAGAATTCACCTATGGTCATATATCATTCAGGATTCTTCAGATTTAAAGCTCTGGTCCCTTCTCACTTAACTAAGTTGGCTCTCACAAAGAAGTTTATTTTATCTTCCAACATCTCCTATTTACTGGAAAATCCTTATTTTTCCCTAGAGAATAGTCAACTGACTTTAGTCTAGTACTAATACAATTCCACTTTCATAATGGTTATATTTTATTTATTTTTTAAAAGTCCAGTATTTCCAGAAACCCACATGAAATGTCATTAGTCGAAATAGCCTTCAGTCTGAGGACTTCTGCGCTAAGCCCAGTGGATGGAATAGGTATGAACGCGTGTTCCTGGGTGAACCTACCCTGGCATGTGCTAGCTCATCTAATCAGCTTGAACGGGTTTATACCTCCAAGGTACGAAGGCACACACCACACCTGTGGAGGGACTCCGACTCAAGTTTGTCAGGAAGGAACTGTGAACATCAACAGGGACAAAGGAAGTCTCAATGTCATAAAGCCAGCCCGTGAAGTCCCTCCAGTCCTTCAGTCGGGCAGATTCGATCCTCGTCCCCATTGTGTGGGTTCCCGGTGCCCTTTACTATATTTCCTTCTTCAAAGTTGCTTTTGCTCTTCATTTTAGCCACGATTTTTTTTAATATAAAATAAAAAGATGTGTAAAAAGATTCTAAATATGAAATATAATTTGCCTTAATCCTCTACTAGGGTAACTGAAAGGAAATCCCAATTAGCAAGTCAAAACTAAAAGTGTTTTGGGGCGTTTGAGTAAGTGGAAGTAGACTTTGAAAATGATCAATCACTCATGATCCCTTTCAAAAGGGACCTTAATGTTCGTAATGATAACCATAGTACATTTTTGGATACAACCTTAAAGCCAGAGTTTGCATTTCAACTAAAAGTTTAAAAATAAGTAACAAATAGCAGCTATAACTTGACATGTGTATGTCTTAAAAATTAACTCTAGAAACCCTTGGGACTAAAAGATGTCAACTGATACATTTATCAATTTTCAGAGTATGGTAGAAAGAGGAAGGAAAGGAGAAGTAAGAAAAGGAGGTGGGAAGGGAGAGAAGGAGGAAGACAGTTACGTTAAAAAAAAAAAGTAGATGTAAAAGGAAAACCACTTGCTCTAGGGACTGAGAGTGTGATTTGAAAAGGCAAGCAAAGAAGAAGAAAATATCAACTTCTATTTAGGTTCTTTGTGGAACAGAATATGAACTTTACAAAAGTGCTTGAGAATGCAAAGCAAAAGAGAGTCAGTGTGCAGTGAGGTTGGTCAGGGAAAATTCTGGGAACAATATCTTGGAGGTCGGAATTTAAGGAATTAAAGAGTGATTTGATGGCAAGGATACAGAGAAGATTTAAAGTTTAGAGAACCACCACCAGAAAAGGTGCAGGCGTGAGGCATGAGGACGGATGCGTGGGGAAAGCTTAGGAGACTCTGCTCTTCTTCTCCTTCCCCGAGTGCATGAACTGCAGGCAAACAGACCGGGAGGCCTTTTCTGCCTGGGGAACCACCTCCACCCGGTCACGCGGGTGAATGAACCCAGGTTTAAGAATAATGGTTGTAATTTACAAAGCTGTGTATTACTGTGGGATTCGAGGATCTTGATGGTTCAAAATGAATTATCATCTTTGATTTAAGCCCTTTTAGTTTGAACCCTTTTCTTTATTAGCTCAATTATACCATTTGAAAAAAATACATATATATATTGCATATGTTGCTTTTTAATGTGTAAAATACTTAGCACAGTGTTGACTATTACAATAGAGGTAATATTCATTATTATTTTTGCTAATATTATAAAGGGAAGGAAAAAGTAGTAATCATTTTATTTTCTGCATCCCAGAGTCGCAGAAATAGAGGTTCTCCGACGACATCCTCAAGGTCAGGCAGCAAAGGTTGACATTGCCCCTCGCAGAGGAACTCTCATAATTATGCTTCTCCCCATCTCACTTGGCCCCCAAAAAGCATCCTCTGACTTTGGTCTTTCTTCCTCAGTTCTGCAGTTGTTCGCTGCCTTAACTGGTATGCGCCCATCCATCTTTGAAATGAAGCCTGTTATCATATTCCTTCCACGAACTGGAAAACAATCTTTTATAACAACTTCCATTGTATTTATCCTAGAACTCTACAATTTCAAAAGATGGTCTTTGTTGAAAAGATAACAGTTTTGAAAGTCCGGAACAACTGACTGAAAGTGGCGTATTTCTGAATGTGTGATCCTGTTGAACTTCCCGCTGGAACTTGAAAATTGCTATTATTTCTAAGCTAAGAAATAGGCACCTTTCCTATATTATTTCATATATGCCTGTGCAACCTGTGACGGCTAAGATGCAACTTTCAAGCTCACTAAAATATATTAAAATATGATAAAGAGATGGATTTTTTCCCTAGGACAAAAGCATAGGTATTTGCACGTAACAGTCATTATGTTACCAGGCACACATTTTTTAAATTTTTAGCAAATTTACAAGAGTGTTGATGTCATTAAGTTACAGTTTATAACTTTTAATTACACTGCATAAATAAAATTGAGGGAAATGGATAATCTTTGATTAAAATAAGTGACTGACCACTTTAAATAATTGTGAGTAGCTAGTATAAGGATATAAATGGAAAGAACTAAAGCTTAAGGAGTTTTCTGCTGAGTATTAGTTAACACACTTGAAAATTAAAAGTCTTGGGCCTGGCCCTGTGGCATAGTGGTTAAGTTCACGTGCTCTGCTTTGGTGGCCCAGGTTTTGCTGGTTCAGATCCTGGGTGTGGATCTACACACTGATCATCAGGCCATGCTGTGGCAGCATCCCACACAGAAGTGCTAGAGTGACTAGCAACTAGGATATACAGCTATGTACTGGGGCTTTGGGGAGAAAAAGAAAGGAAGATTGACAATAGATGTTAGCTCAGGGCCAATCTTCCTCACCAAAAGAAAAAAGGAAAAAAAAAAAAGAAACTTAAAAGTCTTCCTTACAATAGTCCTTACTAAAGATAGTGTAAAATTGAAAATGCATCATTTACTGTACTGTTCATATTCAACACTCCTTTTCTGATCAAATTCTGCCACTATCTTTGGTAAAGATAGTAGTTAGACATAAAATACCATTTGTTGATATGATTATTACAAATGCATTAGGAAAAAAAAATGACCTTATGTGTGATAATCATACAAGATCATGCAAAATGCAATGGAAGAATTTTTCAGGCTAGCATTTTTCTTGCCCCCCAGCAAAGATCATACTTGAGAATCTTAGGAGCAGCGTAAGAGACAGTCAGTGAATCAGCAAGACAATTCTTTCCATTGACCGACCCAGGAAACATTCCCATGAGCATACTCCGCACCCAGACGGGATTGAATGAGTATTTTCTGAATTATAACAATAGCCAATACTGACATGGTGTCAGGCCCTATGAGTCAGGCCTCACGCTAGCATTTCCATGTTAATTCCCTTCTTACCCATGATTGGATGGGTAAGACGACCCATTCCTGGGTAAGAAGAGACAGACAGCTCTTTTCAAATCCACTTTTTGTTGAATGACTGTAGTACGATCTTGGGCAAGTTATTTAACCCTCTCTGTCTTACTTTCCTCACTTATAAAGTGGCATATTTGATGGGGTTGATAGGAGCATTAAAGTAATTAACATATATAAAGTGCTTAGAAAGTGGTACCTAGAATGTGCAAGTTTAATTGCAATCTAAGCCATTATCATTTAATTATATAATTATAGTAATATTATATAATATATAACATTATACAATACTGATACAGACTATTCTTACTATTATTCAAAATGTTAGCTCAGTATCCTGAAGGAGCACATACTCTAATAGGCAACTGCAGTATTACCTTAAAACACTTCCAGAAAAACATTGCAACACCTGGCAGAGTTAAACCATGAGGTATGTGGCTTCCAGGGACTGTAAGCATCCGAAACAAAAACGCTCATTTTTGTGTACCACAGGAAGCTCTGGGTAGGTACATCTTGTCTCTGGACATCAAGTGACAAGCACATCAGAAAACGTCCTTTCTCCAATGGAAGCAATTTGGAGTTTCTTGAAACTAGAACACTTTAGCAGTGTTCCTCTGTCCCCACTTAAACCATAAGAACTCCTTTTCCTTGTAAGCCCACCAGTACTCCATGTAATGCCTGTAGAGATTCAGTTCGTCGCTGTTTTGGCTTCTGCCAAGAGGCTTTCTGGAGAGAACACAGTCCAACAAATTCTGTACCCTCACATCTTCTTCAAGAGAGGCAGCATTTAGTTGTTCGAGCCCTGGAATGCTGTTCTAAAAGCTGACAAGGGCCGCTCCTATGAACCCCTCTTGGGGACCCTTAGATTTAGGGACGCGTCTCAGAGACAGGGCGTAAGTTCAGAACTCCAGGCCGTAGTGGCTAACTTGATCATTCAGCTACATGGTTTTTACAGGAATTCAAAGGAGGAAGTAATTATCACTGCCTGCGTGGGTTACCACAGGGGTTAGCCTGGAGGAAACTTCTGGATGGAACCTTTCGGGAAGAGAAGCAATGGGAGGGTATTCCAGGCCCAGGGGAGAATAGAGTAGACATTAAAACTTTGAGGTTGCATGACGTATTTAGGGAACAGCAAACAGACCCACTGGGGCAAGAGGCAGGAGGTGAGGGCCACAAAGATCTTGTGGTAGAGTTGTGCTCTCAAGTGGCTCTCAGAGGACATGCAGGAGAGAATTAGCAAAAGCATTTAGAGCCAAAGGATGTAGGCATGGATGGGGGGGGACAAGACTGTGTCCAAGAGAGCAGCAGACGCTGCTCTGTCTCACTACATAACCTCGACTAACTGAGAGGCAGGAGGAAGGCCCCTAGTTACTGAAAGGAGTAACTAGGAAGTTCTGTGGTTTTTCCAGGCTTAATGTCTCTGGGAAAATTATAAAACTATGATAGTATATATTTGCAAATAAGTAAGCCCCATATTTTGATCTGAAAAATGATGAAATTAATCTGATATTTACACAAATGAAGAAATACAGAAAGATTTCTTAGAAAAGGTATAATATAGAAGGATTGATCTTATTAACAGGAGTCTCTCAACAGGTGGCAAAATCAAGGGATTACAGGAAAAAGGAGTGTGGCCCCACCAGCCTTATGGTTCTCTCAGTGGGCGAACTCCTTCCGCTAGATCAGATTCAGATCACGGAAATGCAGTAGCAAATTTAGAAGCCTTTGGACCTGGTAAAACTGTCTGTGGGCAGACTTTCAGATGTTTCTTCAGGAGGAAACATATTCTTATGAAGCCAGAGAAATTACATTAGAGAAATGAAAGTATGTGCTCAGAATGCAAGATAACACCTTCTGGAAAATCCGTCCATAAAACTAAAAACATAAAAGCTAGCTAAATCAGTAGTGAAAGTCAAAGTCCCTTCCCTGAGCAACAAGAGACTTCTTTTTTTCGTGCATTCATTCATGTATTCACCAACATTTTTGTGTGTGGAGCAGGCACCAGAGGTGATGCTGAAGGCCTAGTGTGGGAGACCGACGAGTCACCGAATGTGTACGTGAGAAAATGAAGGCAGTAGGTACCAACTATAAAGAGACTCATTTTAAATGAAAACAGTAATATTTAGAGTTTGAGAGGAAAAAAAAAAAACCAGGGCTCTGTTTTAACACCAACTGCAAAAAGACTAATAATTAAAAGGCAAAATAGACGTTATATGCAAAGGGTGAGAAAGGCAGAGGCAGATTGATTTCAAAGGTTTTCAACTAAAAGAGGCTAACAGATGTGAGATCAAGACAATCAATTAGGAAAGGAGATTTATTTTCTTAAACATCTGCCAAGTGCTTAGCACTCGTCCTGACATTATGGAGCACAAAAGAACTAAGTGTGGTTCTGGCAGGAGAGTTTGAAATCCAGCTGAGGAGTCAGCCTAGGGCCTGAAAGCATGAAACAAAAGGAAACGCTGGGCATGTGTGTCAATGTGAGAGACTTTAGTATAGTATCACACAAACACTCCTTCCAGTATTTCCTGATGCTATGAAAGAGGACAATGGCATCTGATGATCAATAGTGTCCAGAAGTTGTCGGAGTGAGATAGAAATGTGGTCTAGGCTCTCTGCCTTCAGGGCGAAACTGGTATTTTTTAAGACATTGTTTAACTTTAAATTTTTTGCCCTTTTGTCCAGATAAATATATATTCCCCCCTCTGACAAATAAATGTATGTCAAAAATTACAGCTTTGGGGGCGAGGGAAAGACGAGGCATGAGGCACAGCTCCTTTACAAGACCACCTGGGACGAGTCTCAAGGCCTGACGCCCTTTTGGTAACACATTGGCTCTACCACTGCCCAGGAAGGCGGGCTGGGGCAGCAGGGAAGACATGTCCAAGGCAAATCTTGTAGCCACACTGCCGTGCACGTCCTGTTATTCTTTTTTGTCACCATGGGAAGGGAATGGCAGCAAAAAGCAGCATCCCTCTTATACATGGAGAAACAGATTCTAGAGTGAGGAAGACCATAGCACCCTTTGCCCTTATGAGAAACCCATAATAGCGAAGTGTGTAAACATGGGGACTGTGGACTGCCTGCCAGTGATCCCCAACTCCACTACTTATGAGCACTGTGATATTGAACAAGTTAATTAACCTCTCTGTGCCCTAGGTATTTTATCCATAACATGGCAATAATAATAATTGGTCACTTTCTTAACTGTAAAATCAGGATAATGAATTATGAGGATTAAATGAATATAAAGCACTAACCAGAATGCCTGATAAGTAGTAAGGACTCAGTATAATTTTTTCCAGAAATAATGTTCAAATGTAGGGGTAAGAGATTAAGAAAAACGGAGGGTAGACATTGGTGATTACTTCAAATAACAATGTGGAGTTATTTTAAAGGCAGAGATCCTTCAGATGCTGTGAATCGAGTCACCGAAAAGCAGAAAAGGCCACAGAAGCTTGACCATTACCTTCCAGAGAGGAACAATCAATTTTTGAAAATTTGGCTAAAAAAATACCCTTGGCTTGTATATGATGAGATACTAAATCTTATGTTCTGTGACCTGTGTCGTAAGCATGGAGTGAAGTCGAGGGGAAATCAAGTGAGTTTTTTTTATGGCACTGACAACTTTAGGACTGAATTTCTCCATGCACATCATCTCAGCGAGGCTCATGCCAGGGCTTCATTAATGGAAGCAACAAGTGGTTCTCCAGTGAACAGAGCCACCACGGAGCTGATGGTGAGGACTGTGAGCAAAGTAACCCTCGGGAGAGTAGAGAACTTATTCAGATCGTGTCACGCTATCGCCAAGACTGGACGTCCCCTCAAAGATTTTATTTGGATGTGCAAGTTGGATGACATGAAGGGTGTTGATATTGGCCCAGTATTCAGAACTAACAAATCAGCAAGAACATTTACATATTTTATTGCTGAAGTGGAACGGAAAAATCTAAGAGATAAACTAGTAAAAAGTAAGTTTTTCTCCATCATCAGTGATGGAATCACAAACAATTCAGCCAAGGAAGCTGAACTTGTCTATGTGCAGTTTGCACATGCAGGAAGAGTGCATTGCCAAGTTGTCGGGGTACAAACAGTGGAAAAGAGGGATCCTCTGGCAATAAAAAATGCCATTGAGAAAACTCTGGAGAGGAATCTTCAACTTAGGCTGTCGAACCAAGACTGGACAAAGAAACTGGTTGGTTTTGGAAGTGGCGGTGCGCCTGGCTCAGAGAGAGAAAGCAATGGGGTGGCCCTGATTTTAAGAGAAATCCAGCCATGTGTGCTGACTGTGTATTGCTTTGCACATCATCTTGAACTATCTTACAAGGCAGTGTTCCAGAGCATTCCCCTGTACAACAATGTGAGAGACCTTCTTTACAGCCTTTATCACTTCTATCATAATTCTCCTCCTCATAAAATTTCTCTGATAACTGCCTTCAAAGACCTTCGCCTCCGACCTGTGATGCCTTCTCAGGTAGGAGGCAGGAGGTGGCTTCAGGGATTACAGGCAGCCCTCCAGAACTTTCTCAAGGGATATCCTGCAATTGTCCAGCAACTGAATTCAGTAAGTAATTTTGAAATATCATACTATTTTAGTTTTTCAGAATAACAGAGAATACTTTTAATGAGCAATTTGAAATTATAATTTGGAGAAAAATAAACCGCCATTTCATTCTCAGCCTATGTTACAGGCAAATGAACGCGGAAGTGACACCAGTCATCAGAAAGCCAAAGAACTTCTAGAGTTACTTCTGCAAGCAGACATCGTTAAATTCATTCATTTCTTGGTGGATGTCATCAGTGTCCTTAGTATTCTGTCCCGAGTCAATCAGAACAGAAATTCTTCAATTGCTGATATATTTGCCACCTTACAGTCCACACTAGAAATACTCAGAATGTATCAAACAAGGTGAGGAGTTGGGGATGACCTCAGGATCTGTTAAACTAGACTGTTCAACTTGGGAAATCATTTGCCAGGTGCTTTTTCATTTAATTGTTGATTTGGGGGATTTTTTTTTTTCTCCCCAGACCAGGGCCAAAAGAACGTAGGGTGGATTCAGTCACACACTTTCATGGTAAGTGCCTCAGAGGAAAGGGAAACATTTCTGACGTGAGAAACACTGTTTTAACACATCTTATCAAGAGGCTGCGAGGCTGTTTCAGAGATGCCGGCCAAGATGTGGTGAAGGCAACCATGATTGGAAGCTTTAAGCTGTGGCCCACAAAGATAAATCAAGGTAACTATAAGCACTGACTCTGAATCCTTGTTCTTTGATTGTTTGTATGAGTGTCTTTCATGTATGTGACTTTTCCTCCTGTATATTGATTGCAGAATTGGGAGAAAAAGAAGTATCCATCCTGATTGCACATTATGAACCAGTATTGGAAGCTGCCAATGTGAAAATTGATGAAGTGGACACTGAATGGAGCATGTTGAAATTAGAGATTTATGCTAGGTAAGTGTAAGTAAACTAGTTGACGTTTATAAATATTTGGGTAAAACTTGAGTCTCAATCTTTTACATTTTTCAATTTCCCTTATAGATTTCAGAACATCCGCGAATTGACCTGGGATGTTGTGAATTCTGTTTACTTACCCAAGTATCCAAATATCTTGACACTAGTGGACCTCGTGCTGACCCTCCCTGCAAGTTCAGCTGAGGCGGAACGCGGCTTTAGTCAGATGAAACGCACCAAGTCACAGATGCATGCCAAGATCAAGGCTGATAGTATGACAGATCTGCTGATAATTCAGTTGAATTCTCCGGACATCAATAACTTTGACCCTAGGAAAGCTATCCATTTATGGAATACGAGAACACCATCTTCAACTGGTGACACAAGACCTAATTCAGATTGCTCATCAAACCCAGAAAGCCATTATGAAAGTGATTAGTAATGTGACAAATGTCAACTTTGTTATTGATCATATCAAAAAAAAGATTAGTTTCAAAAACCTGAAATTTAAAAGTACAACAGTCATCAGTCTTCACATCAAACACAAAAAGCATTTGGCATCTTCCAGACGTACAAACCGAAAATCCAAAGATTAGTTTTCTTGTAACTTTTTAATTCTATTTCTATATTCACACATTCTTTGGGTGGAAGTGTATAATTCTAAGCAATGGTGTTATTTTGATGTCATCTTTCTGGGTGTTATTGCTAAGGGTTGCCAGACTATGATCGTGGTCTGAGTTCCTTTAAGCCTGGCATAAAATTATTTTTCCTGGATAATTCTAAATGTTGGTTGCATTAGATAACTAACTAACTTAAGGCCAAATTGAAAGTTTCCTTTTGATCCATGAACAAAATTTGTAAGTTTATCTTTTTCTGCTACTGCATTGTATGTGAAGATCAAATCACTACATTTCTTGGTCAGTTAAGTAACATGGTCAAATATTATAGTGGTTTTCACATTTCACGTTAAGGTCCCCAGATAAGAAATTCCTGTGTAAACTGAAAGTATTGTCTTACAACACTTTGCTTACACCATAGCTATCAGAAACAGTGGAAATATTTTACAGCTGCACCAGAAGTTTTAAATGCTTTGAGCCTCTTCTTGGTTTCAGTAGAGTTTATTTATGGTTTCATCTTGAGGAACATGAAGGATGTATGCCTAACTTATCTGAAAAACAATGTGGTATTATATAAAGATCACTTTACTGAAATTGCTACTACCTGGGAAAGTGTTCTCACCTCTGTAGAACTGGATACTCAGATTTGATCAAAAAGGATAGAGAATTTATTTCTGAATAAGCTGCTGAATGGCCAATCATAGCAAAGAAAGAAAGATTCTGCTCTTGCTACTCAGGAAATTGCCTTCCAGATCTCAAAATTATTTATTTGGTTTGAACCAGTGAAATTTTAAAAGGATTATTGCATTTTCCTAAAGTTCAGAGGAAATGATAAAGTTCATGTTGGACTTTTAGAAATGCTAGAAATTTAGCTGTAAAAAGAAAAATTTGAGATGCTACGGCTGTGTTTCACTCTTCCTTTTCCTAAACAAAGAAGAATAGCTGTACACTCTGGACCTGAAAGATCCCTGCATACGTGTAAGAGTCTCTCCTAGCTCTGGAAGGTACCTCTGCCATGGGAGTTAGACACTTTTTAAGCAGATTCATTTGTTTTACTTTCCTGTTTCTTTTTTAATGCATGTGCATGCAATTGGAAATGAGAAACAGACTAAACAGATATGTCTTTTGGACAAGGTAAAGTAGATTAGTGTATAAGGACAAAGCATTTAAAAGGTTAATGACCTTTTATAAAATACTTCAGAATACACAGCCGATTAGATGATTATATTAGCCTTTCAAATCTGGTAATTTAACAATTAAAATCTCCCTACATTTATAAAAACAAATATATTCTGACCTAAAGAGCAAAATGAGGATAAACATGTTACCTTGATCACAGTGGTGATTTGCATGCATTTTGAAATACCTTTATCCCCTATTTACCAAAATTGTGCCCTACTGTACAAGAGGAAACGTTAGAGTACTTTTTGAAATTCAACCTATTCTGAGAAAAGATCAAAGAAGACTCCAAACTAAGACATAAAGTCTCAGTATTTTTCCCAATCTGGAATGATTTGTTACTCAGCCAAAAAAGACATTTTGACTGAGCCGAGAAAGAATAATGGAAGAACACCAGGAAATTGATGATTATTTTAATGTTTTCAAAATGTCTTCTGTTTCTCTAAAATTAGTTTAAAATAATATAAATAAAACGATTATACAAGTACCCATTATTTATTCTATTTTAGCAAAAGAAACAAATCCCTGTCCCATACTATAACTGAGAAATGTTTTTCATTGTATTGTAGGCATAATAGGAAATAAAGCATTTGCTGACATTCTGCTTGATTTGGTAACCCTGAACCTAGGAACAAACAACATCCCTAGTAGCTGGATGCACCTCACTCAAGCTGAGGTAAGTTTTAATTTTGTTTGGGTTTCAAAGCTTGGAGAATTCTTCTTATTTGATCCATAAGTCAACAGTTTTTAAATACCCAGTACTTGCACAGTATCTGACATTTAGTAGGCAACCAATAAAACTTGAATGAATGAACTTCAACTGAAGACACGTGGTATGTGCGTGCATAGGATTTGAAGAATGAGTGATGATGCCAAGTCAATGAAACCTTATGGAGACCATGAGGCACAGCCCATTTGTATCTATTACTACCAAATGGAGTGATCCTAACTAGTAATAGTAGATGGTTCTGGCAGTTCTTTCTTTCCATCATATTCTGTTCCCTAAGAATGTATCAGAAAACAAAGTGGTTAGAGAGTGTTTTCCCATGGGCTGCAGAGCCCTTGCACAGCCACAGCTATAGTCTTTATCCCTTCTTCTGTTGAAAAAGGTACAAAGTCAACTAGAGTCACATGTGTACATCTATTGTGTAACAGTAAGAAAAAACACAAATCTCACGGAAGCAAAAAGTGAAACACTTTCTAGGTATTGTCTGGTGTGGGTTGGTTGGTATAGCCTGAGGGAACAAAAGTCAGAACTGGCTCTACTCGCCAGTCTAAAATCAGACTTCCTTCATCTAAATGTCTTACTAAGACACATGAGCAGGTAGAGCTTCATGATGGAGTCATACAAATGTTCTAATGGCATTTCCTGTTTTCTTCTAGTTGCAGGAGTTAACATCTTTATTAGTCGTAAACTCAGAGTTTGTGGACTGGAGGAAATTCTTGTTAGTAACCTCGCTGCCTTGGCCCATCCCCCTGGAAGAGGAGCTCCTCAAGACCCTGCAGAGGTTCAAGGCTGTGGATGACGAGCAGTTGGGCACCGTCACTTTCAAGCAATATATGCAGGTTGCTACCAGCACCTGGTGGCACTAATAATGTCAGAGTACTTTTGACCTAAGAAGGGTATTACTCACTGATGTTGTGATGCCAGGTCTCAGGCCAGTGTTCTGCCCATAGATTGCCCATATTTAGGCACCCAGAGGCAGCACAGGTGCTGTCAAAGTCTCAGGCAGAAGTCTGGCTTCCACCCTTGAGGAAAGGGTCTACAAAAGGTCAGAACTGCTCAGAGAACTAAGAGTTCTGAGAAAAGTCATGTAAACTTCATTGTCCTTCTCCTAAACTCCAACCAAGTGATTCTTAACCTTGACAGTACATTAGAATCATCTGCAGAGCTTTTAATAAGCCCAATGCCCAATACTCTGGAAGTAGCAACAACACTTAAAATGAACACAGGGAAAGGGGCAGGTTTTTCTTTTTTTCCTTTTGGTCATGAGCATGGTGAATGATGAGATGGTTTTTTGCAAGTTGAGTTTGAAATGTCTGTGGGAAATGCAGACAGAAATGTCCACTCTGATATGACAGATGCAGAAGGGACTGCAAGTCACTATCATGTTGGCAGTTGTTGAATTTATGAATGGATGAGACCACCCCAAGGGAAGGGTGTAAAGTGATGGATCACTTGGTAACATGATACCTGGCCATTGGACTTGGCAGGTAGGATGTGACTGGTGACCTTTACCAGAGCAATTTTTGTGGACTACAGAATCCAGATTGCAGAAGATTGATGAAATAAATAGGTCTTTAGGAAGTGAAGCTAAGAAAAGTCAATTCATTTTTGAGAAGTTTGAGGAAGGAAGAAGTGAGAATGAAATTCTATAACCAAGAAGGGCCTGAATTATTTATTTTGTGTCTACTAGTTGAATTCATCCTATGGCTCACCATTTCACAGTGCTGGTAGAGACAAAAGATGGAAACACTTATGAGGTGCTAATTTTGAAACAGGGTGATACTCTCTAGATTCCTATATCTCATATGTATTTCACCATTGAAAGATCACATCCTTTCCGGCTTCTCTTTTCTTCCTTAATTAATGGATGGTGTGCTTATAGACAGCCTTGAGTTTCCCACGCTCGTACAGTTGAGCCAGAGGAAATAGCACTTGCATATTGAGGAGGTTCCTTCAAGACTATCAAGAAAGGTGTTTAGCTGATTGGGCTCTGATTTACTTCCCAAATAGAGCAATTTGTGAATTTTATCACTGGACTTACAACTTGTAGAGATGATTTTGTTAACAAACAAAAACAGCAGCCCAAAACTTACTCTATTATCATCGTTAGCTTAAGGTTTTAAAAAGTGAGCACTTGTGAAATTACCAACCTTCACTATTTACAGTATGTGCCAATTAACACAGGATATCAATTTAAACATCCTTTTGCACAAACATGAGATGAACAAAGGGTGTTGGCAATTTTTACCCAAGTGCTGAGCCAAAACCAGAAAGCTCCTTCACCAAAGGTGTGAATTTCTTAGAGAAAGTTGGCCGGTGCATTTCATAGAAACTCAGAAATACATGTTTGAATACCACCTATGTTTGGGAGCAGTTGATTTCTGAGCTCTGCCCTCTCCCCTTTGCCCACCCAATTCCCACTCTTCAGGAGCCCCAGGACAAAGGAGGCCATTTGGAGAGGCCCACTTGACCCATCTTTACATGACTTTTACAGATTTTCCAATGCTTGTCAGCTCACACACATACACACAGTTATTTTATGGGAAAAGTCAAAACAGCCTCTAGGGCAAAATTTTATAAGATTTGTTGAAAATGCCACATTCGAACAGTAAAATAGTATAACTGTGCTGCCGAAATGGAGTTCTCTGGGAGAAAAGGGGTCTCTGCTTTTTATTTTGTCTGTCTTCTTTCTTTTCTTTTGACTAATTTCAAGTTCACCACAACAGCCACTTAAGAGAGTGCTGATTTCCCCAGCTTCTGAAATGGAATAAGGTACAGCATTTGTGAAGCTAGTCGGGCTGTGTACCTCGGCTAAGCAATGCGAGCATAAAAGCCCATTTGCCCTTTGCTCCCAGCCCTGCTGCAGCTGTCACATGCTTGCCTCTGTCACATGTGGATGTTTAGTCACACTCAGGTAGAATTCTTTGATGTTCAACTCTCGACTCGTCTTCTGCCGGTGAGAGTGCATGTTATTATAGGCTTAATGAGTCAGATGTTCTAGGATCCAAACAGCACACAGCACTTATTTTCTAAGGAAGAGTAAAAAACCTCAAATTCTTTTGCCATATTTTAGCAAGAGAGTACAAAGTACATTTCCATCCTTTAAGGAGAAATCACCTAATAATCCATTGAGGCAGGATATGATTGATTGAACCTTGCTTTATCAATTTAAACTCTACTGTACAGGTTCACATTTAACATTTCACGTTGCTAAAATTTTCATGGATGACTTTTTAAAAATCTTAAGGTGCTTC